CAATCGGGAGAGAGATCCATAGTCGAGGAGCCACCACAGAAAAGGGGCCCCATCTCTCATTCCCACCAGACGCGATTGCGAATGTGGCAGGACCGAGAGCAGGACCCCTCCAGAAGATCTTAACAGCTTTGATGGTTCATAGGGGAGAATATGTTCGGACAGGTAAACTGGGCCGGAACCATATAGAGTTTTGTAGGTTAACACGAGCACTTTAAATTGTGCTCAGAAGCTAATTGACAGCCWGTGGAGGTGGTGTGTAGAGTGAGGAATTTTGCTAATAGTTAAGTCAAGTAACTTTTTAAAGGAACCATCAAGAATATTGTACCTTAGTAACAAGTTAAGCTTTTGTGCCTCATCAAAGAAGTCAGTTGTTTGTTTGTTCTTATAAATAAATCTTTTCTCTATTCAACTTTTAAAGAAGCCTCAATTTTTATTCATTCCTGTGGAGATAATTCTAGTTTCTTTTACATCCTAACATCACAGTCATTTTTGGGAGCTAAAGGAGAGCTGTGTTGGCAAGGCAGGGAAAAGGTTACCTCAGAAACTATTTGTAAGACTCTAAGRTAGCTTAGGTGGTGGCAGCAATAAACCAGAAGAAGATTGAAGCAGTGTTCACTCTTCCAGAGCACACACATTACAACATCATATATATATATATATATATATATATATATATATATATATATATTAACCCCGTGTAGAGCTTTTACACCATGTAAAGATTCTTTTATATTGGGGGCAGAGGCRGGATTGATCTATAATAGTGTGGGCTCAGTAAAGGTTCCTTTTTTCTTTTTCAATCCTTTATACTGGGGGCAGAGGTGGGATGTGATATTCCCCCCTACAGTAAAGGTTTCTTTTAGTTTCCAATCCTTAATATGGTGCAACAAAAGAGTTGTGCACTCCCTGTACCCAGCTCCCATCAGTAACCTGGCTGCCAAGCATTGGACTAATTGCAGCTTCCGGGCAACCCCACATAGAGAGCGTTCCAGTAGTCTATATGGGATGTAACCAGAGCATGGACCACCGTGGCCAAGTCAGACTTCCCAAGGTATGGGTGCAGCTGGGCAACACCCAAAAAGAAGGGGAATTCCAGACAAGAATCAATCAGGGCTAGCTAACACCTCCCAACAAAGGATTCCCCCACGGCAGCAACCAGCCAGGCATTGAAGCTGCAAGGCCATTCAATACTAATCAAGGTGGCCATTTGCAACAGTCACACCTGCCTCAAGCAGACAAGAGATTGTTCTCTCACCCTGCACATTCCACAGATATATAAACCCCACTTCCCTAATTTCCAAATTGGGAGCTTAGACTTGGTATGAAGGCCAAAATGGAAGGAGGGAAGTAATGTTAAAGATGAAATACTAGTTACGTGGAAGTCATTTCAATGGCTCTTGAACCATCATTGAACAATCTTTCTCATCACCTACTCCTCCCATTCCTTGCTGGTGATAATTGATGGTAACTTTCTTAGTGCAACATTTGCCAGTTTCTTTGCAAGGGACCTTTACCCCATGATGCAATATGCATTCACAAAGATTATCTTAACTGCTGAATTGGCTTTCTCCTAAAAGAGGAGCCAAATAAAACTTTCCCTTTAACCTGCTTTTGCATCAATGCTGGTTTTTCTTGATCACTGAACTGAATGGGCTCACCATGCCTCCTTATTCTCCAGAGACAAAGGCCCCTTCCACACAGTTGCATAAAATCCCACATTTTCTGCTTTGAAATGGGATATAGGGCAGTGTGGACTCAGATACCCAGTTCAAAGCAGATATTGTGGAATTTTTTTCCTTGATATTCTGGGTTATATGGCTGTGTGGAAGGGCCCATAGATACATGAAACCAAAACATGTACACAGTATTTGAACTATTGTTCCCAAAATCCCTTGTTCACCAAACAAATCTCAATGGAACTGTTTATCAATTATAGTCAACACATTTACGGGTTTAACTCTATGTATATGTATATGTTTATGCAGAACATGTCATACACATAAGCACAATCATGGATGGATGCATGCATGCATGCATGCAAGCATGGATAGATGGACGCATGGACAGGAATGATTTTGGTCATTGTTTGACTGAGCCAACTGGTATTAACTTCTCTGTTGGCAATTTAAAGCTTGAGCTGCTGGCTGTAGGGCGAATTTGATAATCATTGATACACAGGAACTGCCTTCACTGTGCTTGAACTTTGTACACTTCAGATACGAAGACGCTGTACTTGAGTTCAAGTCAACACATGTCCTGCCAATAATTAACCTAGATTTGTCCACCTCCAGAATCACCAATCATATATTGGTCATAAGATGACTTATGACATTATTGTCTAATGTAGACTTTAATAAAACAAAATGCATCACTCCGCATTTCTGTTACTAAACTTAATGAATTCAATAGCATCGCAATGCAATGTTTTGAACTGACTGAACTTTTTGCTGGAGCAAAAAGTTCAGTCAGTTCAAAACATTGCATTGCGATGCTATTGAATGTTTAGATGGGTCAGCTGGAGATTTTTGCTGCCTGTAGCAAAGTGCTAAATGTAGATGAGATATCTAGACTGGCAGAAACTCCAAGTCTTGCAAAGGCAAGGAATGTTTCAGGAGGATTTTTTTTTTTTGTGTGGTGGGGGGTGAGGGAGGGAGTGTGGCAAAGGCAACCCTTCTCTGTGTATTCTTTGCTGTCCTGCCCCTAAACTGGTGCCTGTCATCAGTGATGGATTGGATGAGGGCTAATAAATTGAAGGTAAATCCAGACAAAACAGATGTACTACTGCTCTGTCAAAAGTCAGGCCAGGATGTGGGATTACAACCTGTGCTTGATGGGGTCACACTCCCCCTGAAGTCACAGGTTCACAGTCTGGAGGTATTCCTGGAATCATCGCTGATCCTGGAACTCTGGGTGTCATTGAAACACTTGACTTGGCCATGGTAGTCCACAACTTGGTTATTTCCTGTCTGGATTACTGCAACGCTCTCTGTGTGGGGCTGCCTTTGAAAATAGCTCAGAAGCTGCAACTAGTTCAGAGATTGGTGGCCAAGTTACTAACTGGAGTGCCATGTCGTGACAGGACAACTTCTATGTTGCAGCAACTCCACTGACTGCCAATCCATTTCCGGGCTAAATACAAAGTGCTGCTTATTACCTATAAAGCCCTAAATGGTTCAGGACCAGATGTTGAAAAACTGCATTTCTCTATATAAACCAGCATGAGCACTGCGGTCCGCGGAGGAGGCCCTGCTCTCGGTCCCACCTCCATCTCAAGCACGGTTGGTGGGAACAAGAGAGGGGTCCATCTCCATGGCTGCTCCCTGCCTCTGGAACTCCCTTCACAAAGAACTAAAAGTGGCCCCCTCTCTTCTCTCCTTTAAAAAGTTTTTAAAGACCCATCTGTGTCAACTAGCTTATGGAGAGGGGGAGGACTAGCATATCTTACATTCTCACCCGGACATAGGACACCTATCTCAGCCTGATGTTGTAATACATTAAACTATGTTTTTAACGTATTGGGTTTAATTGGTTTGACTTCTTGTGTTTATGTTTATTTAGTTTAACCTCAATTATGGTTGTTTATAAGTTGAGTCTATTTATTATATGTTTTGCCTTGAGTGATGTTTATTTGTTTTTGGCAATGAATGTTTGCCATTTTTGTTTTTCTTGTGAACTGCCGAGTCCCTTTAGGAAGAAAGAACCGTCTATAAACAGATTATTATTATTATTTGAAACACAACAAGATGAGTCCACAACAGACAAGATCACTCTGCTGGCTGTTGTATTGGATCACACGTCGGACACTTCCCAAGTTTCTAGGACTATCTGATGTATTGGCGAATAATGTGTGCAGATCCCAGTAAGGTGGCCTTCTGCAGCTGGCAGATGGTAATTTTGTCAGCGCCGATTGTGTTTAAGTGCAGGCCAAGGTCTTTAGGCACTGCACCCAGTGTGCCGATCACCATTGGGACCACCTTAACTGGCTTGTTTCAGAGTCTTTGCAGTTTGATCTTCAAATCCTTGTATTGTGTAAGCTTTTCCAGTTGTTTCTCTGCAATCCTGCTGTCACCTGGGATTACAACATTGATGATCCATACTTTGTTTCTTAACATGATTGTGAGGTCAGGAGTATTGTGCTCCAAAACTCTGCCAGTCTGAATCCGGAAGTCCCAGAGGAGTTTGGTGTGTTCATTCTCTGTAACTCTTTCTGGCTTGTGATCCCACCAGTTCTTTGTCGCAAGCAGATAGCACTTGTGGCACAAGTTCCAATGAATCATTTGAGCAACGGTGTTATGCCTCTGCTTGTAGTCTGTCTGTGTGATCTTCTTGCAGCAGCTGAGGATGTGATCTATTGTTTCATCTGCTTCCTTGCAGAGTCTACATTTGGGATCTGTCATCAACTTTTCAATTCTGGCAGCTGGCAGACGGTAATTTTGTCAGCGCTGATTGTGTTTAAGTACAGGCCAGGGTCTTTAGGCACTGCACCCAGTGTGCTGATCACCACTGGGACCACCTTTACTGGCTTGTGCCAGAGTCTTTGCAGTTCGATTTTGAAATCCTCATATCATGTCAGCTTTTCCAGCTGTTTCTTATTATTATTAAGGAAACAATATGAATTATTATTATTAAGGAAACACTATGAAATTCATGAGGTCACCATAAGTCAACAGGTGATCTGAATGCTTGACTTTCATAACTTTTTTTTAATATTCTGTTTCTCATTGCACAGATGAACACTTTATGACAGAACCAATTAGGAAAAGCATTGATAGCCCAGATAATCTGGCCTCTGAAACTGGATTATTTGGCAGTGTAGATGGGGTCATGGGATCATGGAATTGGAAGAGCCCACAAGGGGCCATCCAGTCCAACTCCACTCTGCCACTCAAAAATCCAAAAGATAGGCTTGCATTGGCAAGTCTCTCTTTGGCAAGAGGGGGAAGGCTGTCTTTCCAGCCTGGCCTGTTTCCCAGACTCCCATTCCAGCCAGAAGAAGGCAGTGCAGCGCTTGCCCTCTTCCCCTCTGAGCCCAGAGAGAGAGGAACAGAGGAAGCAGGGAAGGCTGGCTGGCCCTGCTCCTCACTTCTTCTTCCGCCCTTCTCCGGAGCAGAAACTAACTCTGGGTGAGTCTCTTTCTCCTCTGCTAAAGCACAAACCCCTGGAGCATGTCTCCAAGGGGCGGCTGCCCTGGGTCTCCTTACTCAGGGCTAGGAATGGATCTTCACTGCAGAGCAAATGCAGTTTGACACCACTTGGACTGCCAAGGAATCCTGGCAGTTGCAGCTTGGCGAGTCACCAACAACACACTTTGGCTACAAAGAAGGCTAAAAAGACCTTGTAAAACTATAACTCCCATGTCTCCATAGCATGCAGTTTGATACTAGAATTTGTAGTTTGACACAAGTTACCTAATCACACTAGAGAATGAATCCACTTTAAATCCGGTTTCTGCTTCCTGCGGAATTCTGGGGTTTGTAGTATAGGGAGGCTGTTAAAGTCTCCTCCCTAAACTACAAAACCCAAAATTCAACAGGAGGTAGAATCCGGATTGAAAGTGGATTCATTCTCTAGTGTGATGAAGAGGCTTCAAAGTCTTTAGCCTTCCCTGCCAAAAAATGCTGGTGCCTCACTAAACTGCAATTCCCATTATTCCATACTATAGTTTAGCATTGATTACATTTTTATGGATTTTAACTGAATTTTTTAAACACTTTATATTTAATTCTGTTTATTTATTTATTTTTAGATTTTGTATTGAAAGATATTGAAATGCTTTTAATGTGAGCTGTTTTGAGTCTCCCTGTAGAGAGAGAAAGTGAGGTAAAATAATAATATTAATAATCCCAARCAACAGCAAAATTGATGAGAAGCAACTGGAAAAGCTGACACGATRTGAGGATTTATTTATTTATTTATTTACTTTGCTTCTATACCRCTGTTCTCAGCCCGAAGGCGACTCACAGCGGTTCACAAAACACAGAACACAGCAAAATTCAACACCAATATAAACAGTTAATAACCTAATCTAATACACAATTAATACACAATTACTATGAAACCATTCACTAGCGTCTCATCACTAAAAACGTCACTAAATAGTGATCTTGTTTGCTGTGTCTAATCTTGTTATTTAAAAATCAAACTGCAAAGACWCTGGTACAAGCCAGTAAAGGTGGTCCCAGTGGTGATCGGCACACTGGGTGCAGTGCCTAAGGACCTTGGCCTGCACTTAAAAACAATAGGCACTGACAAAATTACCATCTGTCAGCTGCAAAAGACCACCCTTCTGGGATCTGCACACATTATTTGTCAATACATCACACAGTCCTAGACACTTGGGAAGTGTCCGACGTGTGATCCAATGCAAAAGCCAGCATAGTGATCTGGTTTGCTGTGTCTAATCTTGTTATGTTTCTAATAATAATAATAATAATAATAATAATAATAATAATAATAGAGCCATGACAGTTCGAGTGTTGTCAAACTGGATTTATTCTGCAGTGCATATGCGCTCAAGGTCAGTCCCCTTGAACTTAGTGGAACTGGTTTGTCAGAAGTCATCTGCACTGTAGAATTAATTTGACACCACTTGCAGTGGCTCAGTACAATAAATGAATAGAATTTTTACTTTGTTGAGGCACCAGTAATTTTTGGTAGAGAAGGCTCAGGACCTTATAAAACTCCAACTCCCAGGATCTCAAAACATTGGGCCATGGCAGTTAAAGTACTGTCAGCATTACTTCTAAAGTGTAAATGTACCCCAAGCAGCCCTGCACTGGCGAGATTTATGCCATGGATGTGGTGCTTGGCTTAGTTTACAGGGTTCACTTTACTAAATGTCCCAAAGGCACCAGATCCCTTCTGATTTTGGAGGCTAATTAGGGTCAGCCCTGGTTAAGACTTTTTTAATGTATCTTTATTAAGATTTTGCATACAGATATTTAAAAGAGGGAAAATCAGGAAAAGGGAGGGTAGGGATTGGGACAAATACAGGTGTACGGCTAATGAATTTACAAAGCAATTGGCCAACTGCATGTGGCACAAATTGTCAGAGAAGTCCCTTCTGGATCACTTGCACCCAGCCTTTGTTGCAGTGCAGAAAAAAAGCCACTGGGAATGGTGATCCTTGCATGTTGTTATTGTTGTTGCATGCCCTCATTTCCAATCTGTGAAGACCATCCAAGTACTCACCAAAATTAACCCTGGTTAGCTTCCACGATTAGATGGGATCTAGTGCCTTTGTGTCATTAAGATGGGCATGTGCAAACTTTGACCCTCCAGGTGTTTTGGACTCCAACTCCCACAATTCCTAACAGCTATGCCTGCATTAAGGACTTGCACTTCCCTATTTTGTGTCTTCAAGTCATTTCCAACCAGTGGTGTCCCTACAGCAAAAGTGTCACAGGACTTCCTTGGCAATATTTATTCAGAGTGGGATTTCCATTCCTTTCCTTGTGGCTGAGAGTGTGTGACAAGATTTCCATTCCTTTCCTTGTGGCTGAGAGTGTGTGACAAGATCACTCTGGGTTTTCTCAGCTGAGCAGGTATTTAAAACCTGGCTACTTTTACAAGAGTGTCCAGAACAGCATCTGTACAGACTTTGACCCAAGACTTTGACCGATAATTTTGCTAGCCTTGCATAGAGGCCGTCTTATACGCATGCTCCTTCCGTGATGGTTGGTTGAACTTGCGGAGAGTCTTGCTTCTATCATTTCCCATAACTGTCCCCTTTCATGCTTTCTGTTCTATGAGATTGAGCCATATTTATTTTATTTATTTAGAACTTTTATATACCGGTCTTCTCACCTCCAACGAGGGACTCAGGCCGGTTTACAACAGAGGAATTCATACACAATAGTTTAAAACATCACATCCAATAGTACACTAATATAAAACACAATTAAAATACAATCATACAATTATATAAGGCCAAGTCGTCAGCATAAAATCACTATTCATCCCCATCCGTCCGTGTGGTCAAGAGTTATTGACTCACTCATCAAATGCCAGATTCCAGAGCCAGATTTTCACCAACTTTCTAAAGGTCAGGAGGGAAGGGGCAGTTCTAATCTCCAATGGGAGAGAGTTCCAGAGCCGAGGGGCCACCACCGAGAAGGCCCTGTCCCTCGTCCCCACCAGACGCGATTGCGAAGATGGTGGGACCGAGAGCAGGGCCCCTCCAGAAAATCTTAACAACCTTGATGGTTCATAGGGGAGAATCCGTTCGGACAGGTAAACTGGGCCGGAGTCGTTTAGGGATTTATAGGTCAACACCAGCACTTTGAATTGTGCTCGGAAGCTAATTGGCAGCCAGTGGAGCTGGCGCAACAGAGGAGTAGTATGCTCCCTGTACCCCGCTCCTGTTAGTAATCTGGCTGCTGCTCATTGGACTAATTGCAGCTTCCGGGCAGTCTTCAGAGGCAACCCCAAGTAGAGAGCATTGCAGTAGTCTATACGGGATGTAACCAGAGCGTGGACCACCGTAGTCAAGTCAGACTTCCCAAGGTATGGGCGCAGCTGGTGCACAAGTGTTCATTGTGCAAAAGCTCCCCTGACCACCGCCGAGACCTGGGGTTCCAAGCTCAGCGATGAGTCCAGGATCACTCCCAGGCTGCGAACCTGCGCCTTCAGGGGGGTATAACCCCGTCGAGCACAGGCTGTAACCCTATGTCCTGTTCGGCCTTTCGACTGACCAGGAGTACCTCTGTCTTGTCTGGATTTAGTTTCAATCTGTTGGCCCTCATTCAGTTTGTTACAGCGGCCAAGCACCGGTTCAGGACTTGAACAGCCTTGAACCATAGTTCTACAGTGTAGCTGCACCTTGAGTTGAGATGTTCAAGTTTTTATAATCATGAGAAGAGAGTTGAGTTGAGATGAAACTGTTGGAAATCTGAGCTGTTAGCTTCAAAATAACCCTCAGTTGGGGCTAGAAACAAACTTCATAACTAGCAGAAAATTACGTATGGTGAACCAGGATAAGCTTCCATTCAACAGGATGGAACAGGATTGCAGTCACAACTTTAGGTTCAAAATATTTATTGAAGCAAAAAGAAATCAATTCTAGATTGAAAAAGTCTTGGAGCTAATTACGGTATATGCTGGAGTCAGGCCCGTAGCCAGGATTTCGTTTTGGGGGGGGGGGGGGGGGGCAGGGGGGGTTTTGGGGGGGGCTGAGTTTCGGGGGGGGGGCTGAGTCTGAGTGAAAGAGGGTCTAGCCTAGCAAACCTTTTGTATCATTACCCCAATACCCCCATGCATATGGGATATATTGAGTATAGTGATTAGATCATGATATGAATAAACATAACAGTTTAAATAATGCACCAGTAAGGCCTTTTCGCGAACCACCATGAGAATTTCGGGGGGGGGGCTGAAGCCCCCCAAGCCCCCCCCCCCGGCTACATGCCTGGCTGGAGTATAAGCATACTTTTTCAGCCATTTTTTTAGGCTGAAAAAGTCCCCCTCAGCTTATACTTGAGTCAAGGTGATTTATTATTTTACTCTATTATTATTATTATTATTATTATTATTATTATTTTACTGACACAAAAACACAGTATGTCACAGCTATTAAGATCTATATGCTGGATTTCGTATCACAAAATCACAAGTAGAACACTTCCCAAGTGTCTAGTACTGTGTGATGTATCGGCGAATAATGCGTGCAGATCCCAGTAAGGTGGCCTTCTGCAGCTAGCAGATGGTAGCCTGTTGTGTTTAAGTGCAGGCTAAGGTCTTTAGGCACTGCACCCAGTGTGCCGATCACCATTGGGGCCACCTTGACTGGTTTGTACTAGAGTCTTTGCAGTTTGATCTTTAAATTCTCACATCGTGTCAGCTTTTCCAGTTGTTTCTCTTCAATCCTGCTGTCACTTGGGATTGCAACATCGACAATCAGTAATTTGTTTTTTAACACGATTGTGAGGTCAGGAGTATTGTGCTCCAGAACTCTGTCAGTCTGAATCCAGAAATCCCAGAGGAGTTTGACGTGTTCATTTTCTGTAACTTTTTCCGGCTTGTGATCCCACCAGTTAATTGTCGGAAGCAGATGGTATTTGTGGCACAAGTTCCAATAAATCATCTGAGCAACGGTGTTATGCCTCTGCTTGTAGTCTATCTGCCACTACTCTATTATTTTACTCTATTATTGTTATTATTATTACATTTATTATTTTACTATGTGATTGCTATTATTACTATTAGATTTATTATTTTACTCTATTATTATTGGAAGGATACGTAAGCACATTTACATTGAAGGAGGTTAGAATAATGGTTTAATCAGAGTTGGGCAATCTTCTCTTAAATTACAGTTTTATGTAAATATTCAAAAACATTATCCTACTGATGCTGCAATTAATGCAACTGTATTGGTATATATTTTTATTTTGAAATTTACCAGTAGCTTCTGCATTTCCCACCCTTGGCTTATACTCATTTCCCCATTTTTTGTAGTAAAATTAGGTGCTTGGCTTATGTTCAGGTTGGCTTACACTAGAGTATGTAAGCTAGTTTACTAAGCTCATATTCTAAGAACAAAAAGGGTAAAAAGTTTAAAAAAATATCCATGCAGTTACATTTTATTTATTTATTTATTTAATGCATTTGTTGACCGCCGCTCTCAGCCCTAGGAGAAATTTTGCCTGGAGAAAGGCAAAATGTGTCCTCACTAGAAGGAAGAAAAGGCAGAGAGAGAGCCAACAATGGAGAAGGACCACATGGCCAAACCCAGGGCAATAAAAATACCTTTAGAGAAGAAGTTACCTCATACCTCACAGAGATTCCATTGCTACATCTTCAAAGGGGGAGGAGATATTGGCAAGCAAGAAGAGTCAAGACAAAGGACCCTTCTGGGATAAACATGCATACGAATATGGGAGGGAGGAATCCCTCAGTCTAATACTATCTCTAATCTAGCTACTCATTGAGGACTGGAGACTTAATAACATGAGACAGGGATGAAACCCAACAGAAACCTGAACAGCCAACACCACATTCATGACTGTCAGGACTTCTTAAACAAATGTATGCCCGAGCCATGTTTTCATGAACCCCAGGGGTATATAGGTATATAAATAAGTATAGAAATCAAACATTTACTAAACACAAATAAGCCTTTGTAAGATTTTTTGCTAAACAAGAAAATTATCGTTTTTATGAAGTACAGCTGAAGCATTTGCTGCATAGTCCAGTATAAACACTACACGTTGGTGCTAACAGATTTGTGCAAATCTAGTGATCAGAAACCTTTTTCTGTTGTGACCCCAACATTGAACTAAGGCGACCCCATTTGAGGTCGGGACCCATAGTTTAAGAAGCAGCAATGATTGTGACTAAACTTATGTTCTAAAAGAAGGTTAGATCCTACAGAAAATGTGTTTTAATTTTTTTAATCTTTTTTTGTTGAGCAGAGAATCAGAAGACACTCAGGTAACCATTTGCTACTGTCTCTTCAGTGCTCTCTCAACCTTCAAGATGAAAAAACAGAGCCTAAATCAAATTTCCTCTACTTCCATCATGAAAGATGTGAACCCTGACCTTGCCGTAGAAAGACAAAATCCTTCTTTTGATGTAGAGAGGCTTACCAATATACTAGATGGAGGTGCTGAGAAAACACAGATCCGACGGACAGTTGGTGAGTAAACTGCTTGGAAGGATCCCATGGCTCATCATAATCCAATTTAAAATACTGGTGGGAGTTGATGGGGACTGTTAGCCCTGCCAGATTTGGGGCTGATGAAAGGTGCACCCTGGCCAGGTCTTGGGCTGATGGGAGTTGCAGCCCATCATCAGTACGAATTTGCCTGTCTGCAATTCAAAGTCCTGGCTTTAGCCTATAAATCTGTAAACGGTTCTGGCTCAGCTTATCAGTCTGAATGTGTCTCCCTCTATGAACCATCTTGGGGGTCAAGATCTTCTGGGGAGGCCCTGCTCTCGATCCCACCTCCTTTGCAATTGCGGTTGGTGGGGACGAGAGATGGGGCCTTCTCAGTGGTGGCCCCTTGGCTATGGAACTCCCCAGCAAAGTTAGATCAGCTCCCTCCCTCCTAACCTTCAGAAAGAAACTGAAGGTCCAAGCCTTTTAATAGTAATGCAGTGTAATAAGTGAAGATGAAATATATGCAACCATGACTGGAAAGGCTCATTTATTTATTTATTTATTTATTTGGAGTGCTTCTACCCCGCCCTTCTCAACCCCCTAGGGGGGACTCAGGGCGGCTTACAAAAGGCACAATTCGATGCCCAACAGTTCACAAAATACAATATACAAAATACAATATAACAACAACAGTTATAACTAGTTTAAACAATCAAATTAATACAATAGCAGCAATAAAATCATCTTGTGGTCAACGTTCGCCAGTTCCTTGACTTTGGTTTCGGACTACATGGTTCTTGCTAATAGTTAATTTTAATGTTTTTATGCTTTTTAATCTTATGTGGCGCAGTGGGTTAAAGCACTGAGCTGCTGAGCTTGTTGATCGAAAGGTCGCAGGTTCGATTCCGGGGAGCGATGTGAGCTTCCGCTGTCAGCCCTAGCTTCTGCCAATCTAGCAGTTCGAAAACATGCAAATGTGAGTAGATCAATAGGTACCGCTCCGGCGGGAAAGTAACGGCGCTCCATGCAGTCATGCCGGCCACATGCCCTTGGAGGTGTCTACGGACAACGCTGGCTCTTTGGCTTAGAAATGGAGATGAGCACCACACCCCAGAGTCAGACATGACTGGACTTAATGTCAGGGAACTACCTTTACTTATTTTATTATATATTTGTTTTATGTTTTTATGGCATTGAATTTTTGCCTATTGTAAGGCTGTTCTTTCTGGGTGAGAAGGGCAGGATATAAATACAGTAAATAAAATAAAATAATTTTATAAATAGTACTATTATATGCATATGCATTTTCTAATGGGACCATTCATTAAATCCAAAAGTAAACAATGAGCATTTATAATAAGTAGAATAATAGAATCATAGAATCATTGAGTTGGAAGAGACCTCCCACCACACCATGGAGGGAGATGAGATGTGTTTTGAGGACTAAATTCTGGAAAGGCTGCTGGACCTGATGGTATTTCATAGAATCATAGAGTTGGAAAAGACCTTCTGGGCCATCCAGTCCAATCCCCTGCCAAGAACCAGGGAAATCACCTTCAAAGCACCCCCAACAAATGGCCATCCAGCCTCTGCTTAAAAGCCTCCAAATAAGTAGCATTTCAAAAGGCCTAATTCAGTTAACGCCAAGTATGTACACTAGTTGTTAAATAAATGTGAATAGGTTGTTTGGTTTGCCTACCTTCTCGCAAGATCAGAGCTTCTCATTTTCTTTGTTATTACATTTGAATGTCTTTGTGTTTGAAGTAAGAGGTGGGAGGAAAAATGATAAGTACGGGAGGCAATCAAAGCTGTCTTCAGATTTTAGAATAGAATAGAATAACTTTATTGTAATTGTACATCGTACAACAAAATTAAATGCCACCCCCAATCACATTATATATGTAGAATTACAAAACAAAGCACCCATCCTTCCACATTCTATTGCACAACCCCTAACGCCACATCAGTGTGAAACCATAGAGTTCAATATAGTCAGAGCTCTGGAATAAAAGCTATTTATCAGCCTATCTATCCTTGTTTTTATCACCTTATTTATTTATTTATTTACAGCATTTATATTCCACCCTTTTCACTCTTCAGGGGACTCAGGATGGATTACAATGCACATATACATGATAAACATTCAATGCTATAGACATACAACATATATAGACAGGCACAGAGGCAATTTAACATTCCACCTTTTTGGCTTCATGAGGTTATGCTTGATTCTGGCCACAGGGGGAGCTGTCACTTCACCATCCACTTGTGACACCGAGTCCTTGTTGGAGTACTTCCTCATTCTTGCACATGCTGCTGGAAGGTTTTATGGTGTCGTAAATTAGTAAAATTAGCCTCCCCGCATAAAGTGGTACCTGATTTTCCTACTTGACAGATGCAACTGTCTTTTGGGCTGCATAGGTCAACAGCAAGCTAGACTATTAGTGGTAGAGAGCTCACTCTGACCTGGCTGGCTTCGAACTCTCAGTCAGTAGTGATTTAATGCAGCTGGCTACTAACTAGCTGTACTACAGCCTAGTCCCTGTACCACCTGCCAGATGGTAATCACTAAAAAAAAAAGAATATCCAGGGTGAGATGGAGCCTTAAGAATTTTTTGAGCTTTCTTAAGGCAACAGGAATAATACAGTTATTCCAAAGAGGGCAACCAATAATTCTCTGGGCAGTAGTGGTAACCCTCTGGCGCGCCTTTGAATGTGATTTTCCTGCTTCTTAGCAGAGGGTTGGACTGGATGGCCCACGATATCTCCTCCAACTCTGTTTTATTTATTTATTTACACCATTTCTACCTAGCCCTTCTCACCCCTGAGGGGGGACTCGGGGCAGCTAACACAGGCAACAATTCAATGCCAACAGTATCAATAACAGCAATATAAACAAACAATATAAAATCCTATTACATAACAATTAAACAGTGATATTAATTAAAATTACATAATCACATAAAACAAATCACAAAATCTATGACTCTATGATTCCTATTTGCCACTGTTCAATTGGCAAACCATATGCAGATGCAGTAGGTTAGTACACTTTCTATAGCACAGCAGTCGAAAGTCACCAGCAGTTTATCATGCAATTGTTGGTTCCTTAAAAGTCTCAGATAATGAAATCTCTGCTGGGCCCTCTTAACCAATGTATGAATGTCCCAGGTCAGGTCCCCTTTAATAATAGCACCCGGGAACTTAAAACTGACCACTTTCCCCACTTGGTCTCCATTTATGACCAAGGACTGGACTTCTTATCTATTCCTTCTGTAATCTACTATAACATCCTTGATCTTATTGATGTTAAGAACCAAATTGTTGTCCGTGCACCACGAGAACAGCTGACCCACCTCATCCCATTAGGCAGACTCATCCCACCACTGTTGTCTCACTTGCAAATTTAATAATGATATGGGGGTTCAATCATATGTGTAAAGAGTATAAAGCAGAGGATTCAACACGCTATGGCATCCCAGTGTTGCGAATAAGAGCTGAAGAGATATGATTACCTAACCTAACCCTCTGGAACGTCTGGACAAGAAGTCCATAATCCAAAAACAGATTGAGTATGAAAGTCCAAGATCTTTAAGTTTGGACACCAGTCTATGTGGATGGATTGTGTTAAACGCAGAATTAAGTCTACAAAAAGCATCCTCACGTAGTTTCCCCATAGTTCCAAGTGGGTCAGATCAGTGTGGAGCATGATGGCTATGGTGTCCTCTGTCAATCTGTTAAATCTATATACAAACAAATGTTTATCAAATGTATATGGAAGGCAATAAATCAGGGGTCTTTAAACTTTTTAAACAGAGGGCCAGGTCAAAATCCCTCAAACTGTTGGAGGGCCAGATTATAATTTGAAAAAATAAATAAATAATGAATTCCTATGCACACTGCACATATCTTATTTACAGTGCAAAAAACACTTTAAAACAATAGAACAATTAAAATGAAGAACAATGTTAATAAATATAAACTTATTAGTATTTCAATGGGAAGTGTGGACTTGCTTTTGGCTGATTTGGATTTGGATTATTGCTATTGTTGTGTGCTTTCAAGTCGTTTCAGACTTAGGTTGACCCTGAGCGAGGGCCAGTTAGATGACCTTGGAGGGCCGTATCCGGCCCTCGGGCCATAGTTTGAGGACCCCTGCAATAAATGATATGCCTACAGACCGGTTTTTTCAAGGCACTTCATGATAATGGAAGTGAGTGCCAATGGTCTGTAGTCCCGAAAATTATCAATAGGGAACTTCTTTGGTAACGGAACAATGATGGAAGCCTTCAAACGCGATGGAATAATGGACTGAGATAAGGACCTATTTAAAATCACACGGGACAACCGATCAGCACAGTCTTTAAGCACCCAACACGCTGGAATGTGTCCAGAGGAGGGCGACTAAAATGATCAAGGGTCTGGAAAATAAGTCCTATGAGGAGCGGCTTAAAGAGCTGGACATGTTTAGCCTGCAGAAGAGAAGGCTGAAAGGAGACATGATGAGGGCCATGTATAAATAAGTGAAGGGAAGCCATAGAAAGGAGGAAGCAAGATTGTTTTCTGCTGCCCTGGAGACTGGGATTCAGAACAATGGCTTCAAACTACAGGAAAAGAGATTCCACCTGAACATGAGGAAGAACTTCCTAATGATGAGAGCTGTTCAGCAGTGGAACTCTCTGTCCTGGAGTGTGGTGGAGGCTCCTTCTTTGGAGGTTTTTTAACAGAGGCTGGATGTCCATCTGCTTTTCAAATTCTGCCCTGAGACATTTACTGTTTGAGAAGACTGACTCTATATAACCCAGAATATCAAGGCAGAATTGCCCACAATACCTGCTTTGAACTGGAATAGCTGAGTCCACACTGCCATATATCCCAGTTCAAAGCAGATAATGTGGGATTTTACTCAGCTGTGTGGAAGGGGCCTCCCACAATTGTGATCCAAACAGTAACATTTCCAGGTACTGAGTACAAGGGAGAAAGAAATCCCTGCAGCAATTTACAAAAAGTCAGAGGGTATAGAAACTGTGCAAACAAATGTTCAAACCTGCACTTCTTTCTGTAAACCTCTTAGTGAATGTCAGTCAGTGGCTTGTTATTGGTGTGCTGTAGCTGGCTCAAATAAATGTTTATTTATTCCCAACAGACACCTGGATTCAGAATGACCCAGAACTTAGCAGGGAAAATCAATACTTTCAGAGCCAGAATGAACGATATGAAGACGGTATCAGGAAGTCATTGTACCTTGCCAAAAAGATGGATGAAATGGGATGGGTTGAAGGTGGACCTCATCGGGATTACTGTGTTAGGTGAGTTGAAGCATTAATGGGGAAGCAGTGCTCACTTGTTCTAGCAAGGGCCTTTTCGTTCTAAAGGTTAACAAATGTATTGGGTTGCTGTGAGTTTTCCGGGCCAGTATGGTTATGTTCCAGAAGCATTCTCTCCTGACGCTTCGCCCACATCAGCATCCTCAGAGGTTGAGGGGTCTGTTGACCAGCTAACACCTCCCAACAAAGGATTCCCCCAGGCAGCAACCAACCAGGCTTTGAAGCTGCAAAACCATTAAATGCTAATCAAGGTAATAATTTGCAACTTTCACACTTGACTCAAGCAGACAAGAGTTCTTTCTCCCACCCTGGACATTACACAAATATATAAACCTCACTTGGCTAGTTTCCAACAGTCTGCACAACCTCTGAGGATGCCTGCCATAGATGTGGGCGGAATGTTAGGAGAGAATGCTTCTGGAACATGGCCATACGGTCCGGAAAACTCACAGCAACCCAGTGTTTCCTGTCATGAAATCCTTGTACAACACAATAAATCATATATTTAAAATAATATATAAAAATGAAAGGTTTTCATGAGATATGTTGTGTGCCCACACATTTTGTTATTGCATTTTATGTATATGTTTGTATCCTTCATAAGTGTTTGGTTAACCGCTGGTTTGATAGTGAAACTGTGATGGTGAAACTGAATTACCATGTCATTAAATAATGCATGTCTATAAAGTGTGCCACCAACATGAAATGTTTGGAATGTTCTGATATACAGGATTACATTGTGTAGCTTCAGCCCTCAATGCACATTAAAACAAGGAAGGACAGCAGGTGGCCTTTCAGAGGTTTTTGGGCTGCAGTTCTCATGATCCCACACCTTTATCAAGTCAGACAAGTCACACTGCATACTGGGGGGGGGGGGGGGGGGGAATTGAGTAGGTATGTGAGATGAGGAAAAATGCTGGTTGTAACCAGACCAGACAGTGATAACAACATGCACCATAAATCATATTTCAAAATGTTGCCCTTGATCTGTGGATTACCTAACTAATGTTATTGAGGGCAGCATCATAAAAAAGAAAAACAAGTCTCACATATGTGTGCTAAAGGCATCACTAAAAGTCAACATGGGTTTCTCAAAAACCAGTGATGCCAGACCGGTTTTGGACCTTACCACCCAAAGTCCTAAAAACAGGTTCTGGATTTGCAAACTGGTCACGCTGAGAGCTAGATCACACCAGGATAGCCACCTTTCTTAACACACCAATTTATATGTGAGGACATCTACTGAAACTGTTTTCAAGTTCCTGCAGCAGCTTGGATGTAATACCTTCCAACTCATGCATTGCTCTTTTTTGTCCGTGTCCCTTATTTATTACCATTCTGGAAGATTTGCACTCATCCAAGTGTTATGTACTTTTTTAACCTGCCTTTCACCAATAATAATAATAATCATCATCATCATCATCATCCAATTCAACAACCAGCAGAGTGTCTGCTGTGGACTCATCTTGTTGTGTTTAATAATAATAATAATAATAATAATAATAATAATAATAATAATAATAATAATCCCATCTTCAGCTGCTGCAAGAAGATTGCGCAGACAGACTACAAGTAGAGGCATAACATCTCTGCTCTGCTCATTAGAACTTGTACCACAAATACCATCAGCCTTCGACAAAGAACTGGTGGATCACAAGCCTGAAAAAGTTACAGAAAATGAACAGGGCAAACTATTCTGGGACTTCCAAATTCAGACTGACAGAGTTTTGGAGCACAATACTCCTGACCTCACGATCGTGTTAAAAAACCAAGTATGGATCGTTGATATTGCAATCCCAGGTGACAGCAGGATTGAAGAGAAACAACTGGAAAAGCTGACACTATACGAGGATTTGAAGATCGAACTGCAAAGACTCTAAAACAAGCCAGTAAAGGTGGTCCTAGTGGTGATCGGCACACTGGGTGCCATGCCTGAAGACCTTAGCCTGCACTTAAACACAATCAGTGCTGTAGGTATGGAGCCCCCGGTGGCGCAGTGGGTTAAACCCCTGAGCCGGCAAAACTGAAGACCGACAGGTCGCAGGTTCGAATCTGGGGAGAGGTGGATGAGCTCCCTCTACCAGCTCCAGCTCCTCTTTCGGGGACATGAGAGAAGCCTCCCACAAGGATGATAAAAACATCAAAATCATCCGGGCGTCCCCTGGGCAACGTCCTTGCAGACGGCCAATTCTCTCACACCAGAAGTGACTTGCAGTTTCTCAAGTCCCTCCTGACACGACAAAAAAGTGCTGTAGGTTTGTTCTTAAGTTGAATTTGTATGTAAGTCGGAACATTTTTTCAGTGCAATTCCAGCCAAAAATATTTATTTTTAGCTTTGGATAGCATAGGGAAAGGTTAATACCCCTGTGGCATTTATTTTGCTGTCTGTGCCTCTGTTCAAAAGATATCACCTCATTTTCTGTCCCTGTGAAAATTTGACTAGAAACAAGGATTGGTGATAATGCTTCAGTGGAGACACCTTTTTCCCATGATAACTTTTTCAGGCATGAATTTCCCTTCTGAGGGATACATTTCTTTCACTTCCTGTCGTCTCGCTCTGTTTTCAGCTATGAGTCGTTTGTAAGTGGAATGTTTGTAACCGGATTGTTCAAACAAGCATTTGGGAACTGATCTATGATCTAACTGTTCTATGCAGTTGTTATACAGCCTTGCACTTTATCCCAAGCCCTTGTCCCATGGGTACAGCTTTGCACTTATCCCATTCCTTGTCCAATTGTTTACAGCCTGGCCATGTTTATAGAAGCTTACTGTCATTGCTTATAAGCATTGTTTTAACTGAGTTTTAAGTTGCTGTTTGATATGCCTATAGGTTTTATTCAATTATATTCTAATTGTGTTTCATTTTGTGTTCTGTTTTTGGCACTTAGTACCATGTGTAAGCTGCCCCAAGTCTCTTCAGGGAAATGGTGGCAGAATACAATAATAAAGTTATTATTATTATTATTATTATTATTATTAAACTTTATTTGTACCCCGCTAGCATCTCCCGAAGGACTCGATGCGGCTTACAAAGGCCAAGGCCTCAATACACAACATAACAATACACCTAAAGCAAATTAAAAACAATTAAAGCAATATTAAAACAACAAAACAACAAGCAATAAACAATACACCAACAAGCAATAAACAATACACCAAAACACAATAAAACTGGGCCGGACCAGAGTAAAGGGTACAGGATTAAAAGTGCTGATGTGACAGGTAATATGTAAGGATTATAGGGCAAGTGCAGTGTGCAGTGTGCGGCAATCTTAATTCTAATAAAGTGCTTCTGGGACTTGGTATTGGAGATTTCCTATTTGGGGAAGGCACATCGGAACAGCCAGGACTTCAAGTTCTTTCCGAAGACTGCCAATAAAAGTTATATTATTATTATCATTTTACTGACACAAAAATACAATATGTCACAGCAAATGAGATCTATATGCTGGATTTCGTACCACAAAATCACAAATCAAACACTTCCCAAGCCTCTAGGACTGTGTGATGTATTTTCGAATCATGCATGCAGATCCAAGTAAGGTGGCCTTTTGCAGTTGACAGATTGTGAGTTTGTCAATGTTTATTGTTTCCAAATGCTGGCTGAGATCTTTTGGCACGGCACCCAGTGTGCCGATGACCACTGGGACCACCTGTACTGGTTTATGCCAGAGCCTTTGCAATTCAGTTTTGAGGTCCTGATAACGGCTGAGTTTTTTCTGTTGTTTTTCTTCAATGCGACTGTCACCCAGTATGGTGACATCAATAATCCAAACTTTTTTCTTTTCCACAATTGTAATGTCTGGTGTATTGTGTTCCAAAACTTTGTCAGTCTGGATTCAAAAGTCCCACAGTATTTTCGCATTTTCATTTTCCACTACCTATGCAGGTTTATGATCCTACCAATTCTTTACTGCTGGTAGATGGTACTTGTGACATAAGTTCCAGTGAATCATTTGGGCCACAGAGTTGTGCCTTTGTTTGTTTGTTGTTGTTGTTGTTGTTGTTGCTATTATTATCAATTTTGAGACTGCCTCGTATATAAAATAGGTATAATAATAAAAAATAATAAAAAAAACTTTATTTATATATAGTAATATATAATGCTAATATTGTGCTATGGTAATAATATAATATATTGTATTTACATATTACTTGTAAGCTACTCAGAATCCCTTTCAGAGTGAGAAGGGCAGCATATAAATGTCATAAAAATTTAAAAATTATATTTCACCCTATCTCCCTTGGGGGATTCAGGGCAGATTCCAAGAAACAAAAAGGCAAACATCCAATGCCTCAATAACAGTAAATACAAATATAAAGGTGTAAGTTTCCCCTTGACATTAAGTCTAGTCGTGCCCGACTCTGCAGGGTGGTGCTCATCTCCATTTCTAAGCCGAAGACCCGGTGTTGTCCATAGACACCTCCAAGGTCATGTGACCAGCATGGCTGCATGGAGCACCATTACCTTCCTGCTGGAGCAGTACCTATTAATGTATTCACATTTGCATGTTTTCAAACTGTTAGGTTGGCAGAAGCTGGGGCTAACAGCAGGAGCTCACGCCACTCCCCGGATTCGAACCCCCGACCTTTTGGTCAGCAAGTTCAGCAGCTCAGTGGTTTAACCTGTTGCACCACCAGGGGCTCCTAAATACAAATATATTAACCTAAAATTTATTTATTTATTTAAAAATTATTTAAAACGTTTATATCCCGATCTTCTCAGCTCCGTAGAGGGACTCAGACTCCATATAAACCCATATAAAGAGCAACTTAAGCATAACAACTATCATTTAAATAAAACATAATCAATTGAAAATTATAACTAGCATAGAACTTGAATATAAAAACATCCGTATTAATAAATCAAAACAGCATGATATGTTAATTCGGACAGGATCAACAACATTATCAAACATTTACTGATAACAAATCTGCATCTGCAAGACTTGCTAAATAGGCTGATTTTCCTGTTTGCGGAGTACAGCTGAGACATCTTCTACATTGTCCACTGGAAATACTGCATGCTGTTGCTAACAGATTTGTGTAAATGGGTGGTGTTACTATTGCCAAATGTTTCATGAATCCAACACTGAGTTCACGGCAATCCATTTGGGTCAGGAACCATAGTTTAAGAAGGAGTGAGCTAGGCAATGGCCGAAAGCAAGGAGGAGCTGAGGAGCCTTCTCATCAAGGTGAAAGAAGAAAGCGGAAAAGCTGGGCTGCAGCTAAACATCAAAAAAACCCAAGATTATGGCAACAAAAATGATTGATAACTGGCAAATATTTATTTATTTAGTTATTTATTTATTTATCAATTTTGTGTACCGCCACTCCCCAAAGGCTCGGAGAGGTTCACAATAATACAAACATTTAACATCAAGGAATAATTAAATCAGCAAGGTTCAAATGCCAGCTGAATAAATAAGTTAAATAAATAAATAGAGGGAGAAAAAGCGGAAGCCGTGACAGACTTTGTATTTCTAGGTGCAAAGATGACTGCAGACGCAGACTGCAGCCAGGAAATCAGGAGACGCTTACTTCTGGGGAGGAGAGCAATGTCCAGTCTCGATAAAATAGTAAAGAGTAGAGACATTACACTGGCAACGAAGATCTGCATAGTTAAAGCAATGGTATTCCCCATAGTCACCTATGGATGTGTGAGCTGGACCTTAGGGAAAGCTGAGCGAAGGAAAATAGATGCTTTTGAGCTGTGGTGTTGGAGGAAAGCTCTGAGAGTGCCTTGGACTGCGAGAAGATCCAACCAGTCCATCCTCCAGGAAATAAAGCCCGACTGCTCATTGGAGGGAAGACAAAGTTTAAGTACTTTGGCCACATCATGAGGAGACAGCAAAGCCTAGAGAAGACAATGATGCTGGGGAAAGTGGAAGGAAAAAAGGAAGAGGGGCCGACCAAGGGCAAGATGGATGGAGGGCATCCTTGAAGTGACTGGCTTGACCTTGAAGGAGCTGGGGGTGGTGGTGGCCGACAGGGAGCTCTGGCGTGGGCTGATCCATGAGGTCACGAGGAGTCGGAAACGACTGAACGAATGAACAACAATGAGCTAGGCAATGCTGCATTTCTGATCAGTCTACCATGCAAACCGAAAGGTGCTTACCAGTTGCTCCTCTTCATTCAGGAGAGAGAGAACTTTCATGAGTGGGCTTCTCCCTGCTTTCCTTTTCCTGCAGGAAAAGACTTTCCTTTTCTTCTCCTCCCTGCCTCAAAACAGCCCTCTGTAGCACTTGAATAGATTTTCCCCACAAGTGTCTGGAACATAACTGCATTGTATATCTTTTTGCAGAACTTTTTCTTCTGATTTGGCATTTAACGTGCACCAAGTCTTTGTGAAGAGCATTTTGGGTTTGGGCACAGATGAACAGATTGCCAAGTGGGTCCCCTTAGCACAAAAGTTTTACATCGCAGGAACCTATGCCCAAACAGAAATGGGACATGGTAAGTTTTCTGTGTGGTTGTTCTACATACCTACGAAGCTCAGCATGCGTTAGTGCTATGGCTTCATGCAAGAGAGTACACATCCCTTCCATTCCATCCAAGGCAATACACAGGCTAGGCAGTGTTTCTGTCAAATAATGTTCACAAAAACCCATATTGCAGCATATATAGCATAGCAGTTTTTCCCAGCTACATAAACATTGTGGAAAGTGTGAAATTTAAATCTTCTAAAAACTGGAAAAAGTCATGCAGGTGCAACTTGTCTACTCATTATTATGAATAGAAAAATAGTTAAAAGCTAGGGAAATCTGGATTCAAATTTCTGCTTAGGCATGAATGTCATATGCATGAAGATATATTTTAAGAGGAGCAGAAGTGGTTTGAAAGCATGGTTATCTTCACCTTCCTCCTTAGGCGATCCCGAGGATGATGGTCCTCCAAGTGTAATGTCTTGGTGGTGGGTCCCTAGGTGGCTGTGGAGCCCTATTCTTGATCCGCATGTTCTCCCACAGTGAGGACATTGATTTCCAGGTGGAAGGCGGTTCTGCTCAGGATTGGCTTGACGTGCCTTCCTCTTGGCACACTTCTCTCTTTCTCCCTCTATTCATGCCTCTTTGAATTCCGCAGCACTGCTGGTCACAATTGACCTCCTGTAAGAGAACTCAAGGGCCAGGGCTTTCCAGTACTCTGTGTCTATGCCACATGGTTATCATCTTCAGTGCATTTGCATTTCTCTATCTTGAGACAGAAAATCTACTTCTGCACATTTTAAGCACAGTTCCATTTGAACCAAGCAAAATAAAATAATATTGAAAGGTGCTTGTGACACCACCAGTGGTTCTCCAGTATCTGTGGCTGTTTTGCAATATATATCTTCTCTTGCTCTCCTTTTTAGCAAAAAAAGGAGGAGTGTATGTATGAGGGTATGTACAAAAATCTCAAAATAATTAGTTATTTGTAAGTACAGAAGTTTATAAGTAATTCTCAGTAACTAAGGTGCAACTGTTGCATTGCATTAGAACAGTATTTCTCAACCTTCCTAATGCCACAAACCCTTAACACAGTTCTTCATGTTGTGGTGACGCCCAACTATAAAATTATTTTCGTTGCTACTTCATAACTTTAATTTTGCTACTGTTATGAATCGTCATGTAAATACCTGATATGCAGGCTGTATTTTCATTCACTGGATCAAATTGGGCACAAATACCCCATACGCCCACATTTGTATACTGTTAGGGTTGGGGGAGGGGATTTATTTTGTCATTTCGGATTGTTTAGTTCACCTACAATCAGAGCATTCTGAACTCTACATATGATGGAATTGAACCAAACTTAGCACTCAGAACTCCCATGACCAACAGAAAATACTGCAAGGGTTTGGTGAGCATTGACCTTGAATTGTAGTTCACCTACATCTAGAGAGCACTGTGGACTCAAACAATGATGGATCTGCACCAAACTTGGCATGGATATTCAATATGAGCAAATGTGAACACTGGTGGAGTTTGGGGGAAATAGACTTTGACATTTGGGAGTTGTAGTTGCTGGGATTTATAGTTCACCTACAATCAATTAATCCTGAGGAGATGCCATCTGGGATTTGTGGGTATTGATGCTGGTCCTATGGTGCTTTGGTAAGCCATGTCTCTCTACCATTTTATTATCAAGGAACGTATCTTCGGGGATTGGAGACGACTGCCACTTTTGATGTTGCCACTCAGGAATTTATTCTCAACACCCCAACCCTCTCTGCTATGAAGTGGTGGCCAGGAGACTGTGAGTAGATATCCACACACTAGGACTCTGAGCAATGAGTTCAAATTTCAGAAAATAGATTCCACCTGAACATTAGGAAAAACTTCCTGACTGTAAGAGCTGTTCAACAGTGGAGCTCTCTGTTGCAGAGTGTGGTGGAAGCTCCTCCTCGGAGGGTTTTAAACAGAGGCTGGATGGCCATCTGTCAGGGGTGCTTTGATTGTACTTTTCCTGCATGGCAGGGGGTTGGACTGAATGGTCCATGTGGCCTCTTCCAACTCTATGATTCTATGAAAGGTGCCATGGGGAGATTGGGGGATCACATTATAAGTTTTCTTTTGGGTGTTTCATTAGTTTCTGAAATGTGGCTAAAATGGAAATAGATGCTGTTAAAATCCAGCATAACAGGGTGTACACTATTCATGTGCTTTCCAAACCTGGCACACTTCTCAGGTGCTTCAAGGACACATGTTTTCAAAATGCTTCAAAGCATTGCTTCTCCCCACCCACAAGCCGCCTCTGCCCAAGAATGTCGGTGCCTCATCAAGTTATAACTTCCAGGATTAAATACCATTGAGCCAAGGCAGTTAAAGTGGTGTCAAACTGCATTAATTCTACAGTATAGATGCACCCCTAGGCAGACTTTAGCTGTTGCTTGCTCATTGCAAAATGTGTGTGTGTGTTTTTTTTTTAAAAAAATCCTCAGATATATGTTTAAATAGTTTAAAACTGCTTAAAATAAGAGTTGATTTTTAAAAATAATTTACCATATATACTCAAGTGTAAACTGAGTTTTTCAGCTCCTTTTTAAGCTGAAAAAGCCCCCCTCAGTTTATACTTGAGTCAAAGTTATTTATTATTTTACTCTATTATTATTATTATTATTATTATTATTATTATTATTATTATTTTACTCTATTTATTATGATTATTATTATATCAATGTTATTTTACTCTATTTATTAGATTTATTATTTTACTCTCTTAATTATTATTAGATTTATTATTTTTCTTTATTATTGTCATTATTACATGTGTTATTCTACTCTCTTTATTATTATTAGATTTATTACTTTTCTCTATTTATTGTCATTATTACATGTATTATTTTACTCTCTTTACTATCATTAGATTTATTATTTTATTTAAGCACATTATTACTTTTCTCTATTATTGTTATTATTACATGTATTATTTTACTCCCTTTATTATTATTACATTTACTATTTTACGTAAGCACATTGACATTGAAGAAGGCTAGAATAATGGTTTAATCAGAGTTCCACAGTCTTATCTTAAATTACAGTTTTATGTAAATATTCAAAAACATTTAACCTACTAATGCCTCAATTAATGTAATTGTATTGGTATCTATTTTTATTTTGAAATTTACCAATAGCTGCTGCATTTCCCATCCTTGGCTTATACTTGAGTTAATACATTTTTCCAGTTTTTTAGGTGCCTCGGCTTATATTCAGGTCAGCTTATACTTGCGTATAAGCTGACCTGATAAAATATTATTACAGTACAACCCTGGTATGTCTGCAGGTTCCATCTACTGGCATCTGGCAAGGAATTTTTTAGGTCCTCCAGAGTGTCTCTGTGGGTTTTTTTCTAGTGCAAAGCATTCATTTCATTGGGTTTCATGATTAGCAACTGCTTCCTATTTCCACAGTAAGTTCAGAAACGTATCTGAACGTCACAGATATGAGAGGTGTACCATATACAATTTTTCCAGATAAGTTTTATTTAAACCAGCCCTGTAAGCTCCGTTGAGTCCCATATCGGGTTAAAAGCGGTATATAAATTACATAAAACAATTAAAGCAACAAACCTTCTGATTAATTCTTCGGGCATTTCATCTGTCCCTATCTTTAAAGTCGGTTTTGTCTGTTAACAAGAACTGCTACCCATGTTATAATCAACGGTGTGAAAATGCTGGTTGTATTTTCAAACTAATGGGAACCCTTTGTTTCTCCCGTATTCTTCTGACTTACAGTGGGAAGAACAGCAACTCACGCTGTGGTTTTTGCTCAGCTTTACCTCAATGGAAAGTCCTACGGCATGCATCCATTCCTAATGCAGATCCGCAGCCTCCGAGATCATACTCCTTTACCAGGTGACAAACTCCAGGCCATCTTAAGGCTACAGGCTCATTCACTAGAGTATTGCTTCTTAAACTGTGGGCACTGGTCCCAAATGGGGGCTCCTTAGCTCAGTTTGGTGTTATGAAAAATTACAACAATAAAAATTCTGAATGCCACTTAGTGGCTGTTTTAGGCATTTCCATCAATCTGTTGTGTGTGTTCACAGTGGACTCTGCAGAACATGCTTCACCTGTGCTCTATAAAAAGGAAAATCAGCTTGTTTAGCAAGTCTTGCAAATACTAGATAGTTATCGGTAAATGTTTGGTTTTTATACCTATTTTGTATAGTTAGTATACTTGGATCATGTAAAAATTTCTTGGGCCAAAATGGGATATCAATTTGGAAAAGTTTTAAAAGCCCAGCTCTATCCCACTCATTTCCTTGTTTGTATATTGTGACTGCTATAATGTTATACACAATACTGGACGGTTTAGATGTGTACATTGTACTTGAAAGATACAGATTTGAATATGCTATTAGGTGATATTTTGTTATTGGAAAGCTTGATATGTTTTGATTGTAAGGGGTTCTCCAGAAGGCAGCACAAAATCATAAAGACCACATAAATGCAAGTGTATGGAAATAGTGGAATACTGACTCATTAAAATAATATATGATACATGGTTTTTCATCTTTGGGTGGAATTAGGATGGAAGAATTGAAGAATTGACACTTCCAGATACCTCTCTTGGAAAAAAAACAGGAGAGAATTTAATCCCTTTCTGTGCCTGAGAAAGCCAATGTTTTTAACATGTATACTTTTTTTTTACCACAATCTCATCATCATTCATGCAGAATGTCTAGGATTTTAGGTTTATGTTAGAATTATGGTACTTTGTTCCATTAAATTAACCACTAGAACAAACCTGCCGTACAGGAATTTAGGTTGCAAAAATATTCCCATTTCAATTTTAGACCCATATTATTTTGGCACTTGACAAAAAATCCTAAATCACAACATGGATGTTATAGATTGTAGAAAAGTGTTAATTTTGGTTTTTGTGGTTCAGAGAATCTGTGAATTCTGTCATTTTTGAAGGCTAACTAGAATGGAGATATGAATGGCATCCTATCAGCATAGACGTATCCACTAGAATGCTTGATTGTATTTGTTTGTGTTCACTCCTTCAGGTTTCTTGTTTTCATGCACTTCTCCTTTGTCATGTGGTTGAATCCCCACAAAGCCCAGTCTAATAATAATAATAATAATAATAATAATAATAATAATAATAACCAGTAAAGGTGGCCCCAGTGGTGATCGGCACACATGGTGCAGTGCCTAAAGACCTTGGCCTGCACTTGAAGACAATCGGTACTGACAAAATTACCATCTGTCAGTTGCAAAAGGCCACTCTACTGGGATCTGCACGCATTATTTGCCGATTCATCACATAAGCATAGTGATCTTGTTTGCTGTGTACTAATCTTGTTGTGTTTCAAATAATAATAATAATAACAATAATAATAACAACAACAACAATAACAATACACTTTATTTATATTCCGCTTTATCTCCCCAGAGGGACTCAGAGCGGATTACAATATATACATATGAGGCAAACAATCAATGCCTTTTATACATAGTAAACAACAACATACAACACAGACAAAAGTAAAGGCCTTCCCCTTTTTTCCATCTCCGGTATCTGGAGGTGATGCTCAACTCCAGCCTGAGGAGGTGCTCTTCTTCAATTTTTCCATGCCAAGGTGGCTGTTGTCCATAGACATCCCCAATTGTGTTGCCGGCATGTCTGCATATCTGCATGAGGTGCCCCTTTACCTTCTCGCTGAGGCAGTACCTATTGATCTACTCACATTGCATGCTTTCGAATTGCTAGGTTAGCAAAACCTAGGGCTGACAGTCGGGAGCTCACCCCAATTTGCGGCTTCAAACTGCCAACATTCTGGTCAGCTGATTTCCTGCAGCTAGCGGTTTAACCTGCTGTGCTACTGTGGCCTTACTCTTATCTTTAATAACAGTAAGCCTTCCATATTTCATGAAACTGCCAAGCCATTTCAGTACCAGGGTGCCTAGCATATTGCCTTTACCAAATTCGGACACAACACACATAGTGCAACATGATATCTGGAAATGTCTAACCTTGTAAATGTTTCTCATTGCTCCCACTGTTCCTCAGGAGTAACGGTCGGGGATATTGGTCCCAAAATGAACTTTGAGAATGTTGACAATGGCTTCCTTGTGCTGAAAAATGTTCGGGTCCCAAGAGAAAACATGTTGGCCAGATTCTCCCAGGTACAGTTGGAAAAAGGGAGCAAATTGGTTTATCAGAACCGTTTTACAAAACCTCAGACTCTCTAGTGGTTTTCACGTTCATGGGCTTCCATAATCTGTTAAGGATTTTTTGTATAATGTTGGATATTGTCACTAGCTTTTTTGTGTACAAAATCAGTTAAGAAGTTTGGATAGAATCACTTTACCTCTTCTTTTCCCTCTTTCTCTTATCTTTTTTTTTAAAGGGACCGCAACTCTTGCTTCTGACAAAAACTTCAAAAGTCCAACATCTAAGTCTGGACGCCTTTCCTTTCACCTGACTTTGACTTTCCAGTATCTGAAGAGTATTTGTTGTTATTATTTATTATCTTTAGGTTGTTTCCGACTTACGGTGACTATCATGGGGTTTTCCTGGCAAGATTTGTTTAGTGTGAGTTTGCTTATGCCTTACTCTGAGACAACGTATCTCTGAACAACTCTTATCAAGAAAATCCTGTCATAGGTTTACCTTAGGGTACTTCCCAAAATCACCCATTGGTTTCTATGGCTGAGCAGAGATTTGATCCCTGGGCTCCAGAATTGGGAGTCCAACACTCAAACTAGTACATCCTACCAGCTCCTATACATTTCTTCTCAATCTTTATTATTCTACATACCTTATGTCCAAAACCTAGCTCGTAACAAAAGAACAGCATATCAGCTTTAGAATAAGGGCAGTAGAGTATTCTATCTAAAAAAGAGAGTCACAGAAAACATATCACCCATTTTGTATATTTTCTCTTTTTATTTATTTATTTAATTAATTTATTAATCAATTTTGTATACCGCCACTCCCCGAAGGCTCGGAGCGGTTCACAATATACACATGTAATACATAACATTTAAATACATAGCATTTAATACATAACATTTAAAATCAAGGAAGAAATCAATCAGCAAGTCTAATCCATCTATTTTTTATGGCTAATCCATCTATTTTTTTTACTTAAAATATATTCCTGCAAGTGATTCCTGAAGTTAAATACCAAAATGATGTAACTCGTATTCGTTCTCTTTGAACAATGTACTATAGAGCATTTGTATATTTTTTATAAATATCCAGATATATGTTGGGTGAGTGGGCTTATTAACAGAAGACCCTCCTCATAAATGTATAGCAAAGGAACTTATTAGCAACAGCGTGACTCAGCACCAGTAGCCATAAGTGATAAAAAGAACAAACACACAAACCAATGTTATAACTTCCTTAGGAGGCTTTTCTTTATAGCAAAATAATATGGTCTCACTATTTACAAGGACAAGGTTTCCATAACACAAATAAAGCTCTTTTATACTTCCTTCTTTACTTCCACGTTAAGCTTCTTTCTCATGCAGATAAACAGCTTCACTCTCACTGAGCTTCCTCTCACACTGAACTTACACAGGATCTTCACACAGTAGCTTTTTACATACAGCAACCTTCACACTAGAGCGCTACACATGAGGCCAACCTGGGGCTTCTCTCACCAAAGCCTTCTCACACCAGACCTCTCACACACTGACGCCTACTAACACTGAGGCCTTCCTCACACTGAGGCCTCTCTCATACTGAAGCCTCTTCATACTGAGGGCAACTAACATTAAGGCATACTAAGCTGCAGGCACACCAGCTTATATTGAACTGCAGCATTTGTTGAGTCATTGCATCCATTTAACCCTTTCAGTTGCTTGACTCACATTTTTGTAATTAAAATACCTAGTTAATTTTTAATATTTCTGACAATATGCACCTAGTCCAAGGGTGTCAAACTCATTTTCATGGAAGGCCATATTAACCTTAGGGTGGCCTACAATTCATGAATGGAGATCCCTGGATATTGAGGGCCAACAATAATGTTTTTACATAGGGGCCAGTGCTCTTTTGTTTTGTTTTTTACCTAATTTTGGTCCCCAGATATTACAGAATAACAACTCCCATCCCTTTTTATTATCTGCCATGCAGATTGGGGATAATGGGAATTGCAACCCTTGTGGCTCTGAGGGCATTTTAAAGCCAGACTTCATGTCCACAAGCCTTGTATCTAAATACAAACGCCACTCTCCTGACTGAACAGAACAAACTGCAACCTTCCATATGTTCTTATATACCAACTCCCATCAGCTCTAATCCAGATGTCTAATGATGAAGAATACAGGAGTTATAGTCCAGCATCTGGAGGACCACATAAAATGACGTGGCAGGCCATATTCGAGCCCTGGACCTTGAGTTTGACATGTGCGTTTTTCATTGATTGATGGATGCCATAGTGGTTGAGATGGAGTACACACGTATTTGAAGCCTACTTACCGATGAAGCAAAAGCCCATATTTGATTCTCAAAAATCATCTAGAAATGTAGTGTTTTCTTCCTGAGAGTCACTGAAACAAACTCCATACATTTAAGCTATAGAGCATCAATTACTGCATAAGGTATATCGGTCCCTCTGTGCCTTCAGGAGCCACTGTGGTGCAATGAGTTAAACCTTTGTGCCGGTTGACCTAAAGGTTGGTGTTTTGAGTCTCCGAGACAGGGTGAGCTTCCTTCTGTCAGCTCAAGCTTCCCACGCGGGGACATGAGAGAAGCCTCCTACAGGATGGTAACATATCTGGGCATTCCTTAGGCAACATCTCTGCAGAAGGCCGTTTCTCTCACACCAGAAGCAACTTGCAGTTTCTCAAGTCGTTTCTGACACAATAAAAAAACTTTTCATGTTCTAAATTTCATCTTTTTCCAGGTCCTGCCAGATGGTCAGTATAAAAAACAAGGGACTGACAAGATTAACTACTTGACTATGATAGTGGTTCGTGTATTCATCCTTCGGAAGGAAGTTATTACAACTCTGATGAAGGCATGCACCATTGCAATCCGATATTCTGCAGTACGCCGTCAGTCAGAGTTAAAGCCTGGGTATGGTTTGACTTCAGTAAAGAGGGCATCCTTCTCCTTTGTCACGTTTCTCATTACACTCTGTAACAAAATTTGAATTTTTTCCTGTTTCTGCTTTGAAAGTGTTGTTTCGTGTAATTGTGCAGTAATTCCTTTGAAAATAGTTGTTATGCTCAAGAAACATCGTATTTGTGGCTGCCACAAACTATTTGGTTGAGACTCTAAGATATTCATTGAAAAACTGTAGCAAAATGTGCTGCAGGATGTCCCATAAAAACAAAGTTTTGGCAGTTTAATAAACTTTCCCCATGTTTATTATTATTATTATTATTATTATTATTATTATTATTATTATATGATGAGAGAACCAATTAGGAAATTATATTTATAACCCAGGAACAAAAATTGTGTTACATGGTGTTATAGATGGAGAAACTGATTGAAATGACAGTTCAACAAGGCAGTATTGTCAACCACATCTCATAGCACCAGGTTAATTCAGAGGGCACAGATAACGACCCAGAGCCAGACACAGCTACATTCAAACCAGGAACAGATTTTTTTTTCAAATTTTGGCTTATCCACAAAATTTGCAAAATGGTCTTCTTCACATTAACGCATTATTCCTGTTGATAACCAATCATGTTTCCTTCCCCTAGAGACCCGGAGGCAAAGATTCTTGACTATCAAACTCAGCAACAGAAGCTCCTGCCTCAGCTGGCAACTGCCTATGCCTTTCACTTTCTTAGCAATTACCTACAGGAGGTTTTTGATAAAGCCTACACAGAAACTAAAGAAGGAAAGTTTGACCAGCTTCCAGAGGTAATGTGGAATAGATTATTCATTTGGTGTGTGTGTGTAGGGGAGGGGGGCACATTCTCAAAACTTCGGTCCTCCTGGTGTTTTGAACTTCAACTCCCACAGCCCATATATATATATTGCCCATACCTTGAGAAGCCAGACTTGGCCATGTTACATCCCGAATAGACTACTCTACTGCAATGTACTTGACGTGGGGTTGCCTTTGAAGATTGTTCAGAAGCTTGAAGTAGTCCAAAGAGCAGCAGCCAGGTTGCTCACTTGAGCAGCGTACAGGGAGCATACAATCCCCCTGTTGTGTCAGCTCCACTGGCTGCCAGTCTGCTTCCGAGCACAATTCAAAGTGCTGGTTTTAGCCTATAAATCCTTAAATGGTTCTGGTCCAGCTTACCTGTCCGAATGTATCTCCCTCTATGCACCATCTCGGAGATTAAAATCTTCTAGGGAGACCTGCCCTCGGTTCCATCTTCTTCACAGGCATGGTTTTGGGGGGGGGGGGAACGAGAGACAGGGCCTTCTCAGTGGTGGCCCCTCGGCTGCGGAATGCCCTCCCCGGATATATTAGATCAGCCCTCTCTCTCCCGACTTTCAGAAAGAAACTAAAAACATGAATGTGGCATCAAGCTTTCGGACCATACTTTTTCAGTGCAATAAGTAAATACGGAATAGTGTAATGCCAACTGGAATGACCTCGTACTATGATTTTGGATTGTGTGGTTTTAATAATTGATTTTAATGTTGAGGTGTTTTTAACTTTGGGTTTTAATGTATATGTTTATTTTGTTTATATGTATATTTATGCGGCATCAAATTGTTGCCTACTTGTGAGCCACTCCGAGTCCCCTTTGGGGTGAGAAGGGCAGGATATAAATATAGTAATTAAATACATAAATGTCTGAATGAGCTCCAATTAAAAGTTCAATTTCCCCTGAGATCCTATCACTTCATATGCAACCAGTGCGCACACACACCATCCATTCTCAGCTGTCTAAAGTAGTGCACTTTCCAGAGGAATATACTATTTGCTTGGCACATCTCTACAGCATTGTGGTTTCCGGATATAATTGTATGTTGGCTTATTTTGAAATGGTCTCAAGCACTGGGCATTGTCTGGTTAATGTTGAATGCTTTTAAGCTTCATTAATGTCCTATATACTGATAACAATGATGCTTAGCCTTTCAGAAAAGGAGACTTATTGATTTCAATGAGCAAGAGTGTATGTGTTTGACCTTCTCCCATAGGAATCAACAGGACTTGCTCCAACCACAGTTAAGAGCTTTGCCTGGATTCTAAAGAAATTCGGTTCATTTAATCTTGAGACCTATGTCAGAACCACAGAGTATGTAAGATTAATTCAGGCATTTAAATAACTCATGGATATAAGGCTCGTAGCAGGATAGCAGGAAATAATATATGGTGACATAAATTTAACTTTCCTTAACTCAGAAGCTAGGTCAGTTGGAGACATTGTTAAGTCTTTTTATAGTATATCCAATACTTCGCTTTGCTCACAGAAATGTTGGAATGTCCTTACTTAACACCAGTTCTGGTTATGTGCAGCTTCATGCTCTTGCTTCGGGCATTAAAGTGATAGCTACAGAGTACAGCTCATCTGGTGTGGAGGTGTGTCGAAAGGCTTGCGGAGGACATGGATACTCTCTTCTTAGCGGACTTCCTTCCCTGTACACTAGACTGGTTGCCTCGTGCACCTACGAGGGTGAAAACACTGTACTCCTCTTGCAGACAGCCAGGTAACCTTACCTAAAATATCTTCTAGTTTGGAGTCTGGGACCTTGCCAGGGCCATTCCATGAAATTTTACAGTTTGGGGAAGTTTATTTCTTGATTACAAAACCCAGAATCCTCCAGTGGTAAAAGCAATAGAGCCAAACATAACTTCTGAATACATTTCAAGACCTCTCCGATTTGTAATCTCCTTTTTTTAAGTCAGTAGAGGGATATGTGTATTAATGTTTGAAATGTGTATTTTACAGAAATGCTTTGATATATATCTTTTATGGAATTGCATTTTAATATGTGTGTTTGTAGAATTTGTATAGTATTTGTGTATTTTTGACTGTGCTGTAATCCTCCTCGAACAATGGGAAAAGGTGGGTAAGAAAAAATTATTATTATTATTATTATTATTATTATTATTATTATTAGATACAAAACAAGATTGGGACACAGCAAACAAGATCACTATGTTGGCTTTTGTATTCGATCACACGTCGAACAATTCCCAAGTGTCTAGGACTGTGTGTTGTATCAGCGAATAATGTTTGCAGATCCTAGTAGGGTGGACTTTTGCTGCTGACATAGTAATTTTGTCAGCATTGATTGTTTTTAACCGCATTGAGTCGCCTGTTAAGGGCTGAAAAATGCGGTATAGAAATGAAGCAAATAAATAAATAAATAAATTAAGTGCAGGCCAAGGTCTTTAGGTACTGCACCCAGTGTGCTGATCACCAATGGGAGCACCTTTACTGGCTTGTGCCAGAGTCTTTGCAGTTCGATCTTTAAATCCTCATATTATTAATATAATCCTCATATTATTAATATCATCATATTAATATTATTAATATGATGATGATATATGCTTCTGCCTGGGGCTAGTAAACACAGATCTTTCTTCCGTTTCTTCTTATCAGTTATGAAGTGCATAGGAGGAAAGTACTAAATGTACTCCTCTGGTTGTACTGGAACTCTTTGTTGACACTTCTTCTCAATAACAATTATAACATATTGACTATGTTGTGCAATCAACGTTGTTCAGCATTACACAATGCACAAGATTCTGGATAATCTAATTAGTTACATAACCATTTTAACTTTGTACTTAAGTAGCATCTACTAGCTCAGTCTCCCTAAACATACCTTACCAGGTGGCAGCTGCTGCACGTGTCAGGAGTCTGTTCTCCTGTGAATTGGGATGCAGCAAATTAATGTTTATATGCTCTTGCAAACTTCAGTGTGAGAGTCAAAAGCAGGATCCCTGTTGCAATTTCTCCTTGCATCAGATATCATTCATAGGAAGGTTGGAAACATGTCTGCTGCTTCCCAATTGACGAGAGAACAGACTCTCATTAGTCACAGCTGCTTTCTTCATGTCAGGAGCGATTTGAGAAACTGCAAGTTGTTTCTGGTGTGAGAGAATTGGCCATCTGCAAGGATGTTGCCCATGGGATGCCTGGATGTTTTACCATCCTGTGGGAGGCTTCTCTCATGTCCCTGCATGAGAAGCTAGAACTGACAGACAGGAATTCATCCCTGGATTCGAACTGCCAACCTTTTGGTCAGCAGTCTTGCCTGCACAAGGGTTTAACCCATTGCGCCACTGGGGGCTCTTGTCGCTGCTGCTGCACAGGAAGTTAGCATTTTACGATCCCTATGTTTTCCTTATACTATTGAATATGTAGGAATTGTGGATATAAATCAGTTATGAATTCATAAATCTAGCTTATGCATTTGTAACTGCAATTGTGAATTCCATCCAAACCTATTTAAATATCTGTTTACCTTTCTAGTTTTCTAGTATTATGAACATACAGAAGCTTTGTCTTGCTCACATTGAATTGCAGTATTATCTTTTTCATTTTATTTGTCTTTGAAAATCAAAGAATTTAGAGAATAATTTGGGTTTGCTGTTTGCCTCAGCTCTCACTTTCTTTATCATTAGGTTCCTGATAAAATGCCTTGGGATGGCACAAAAAGGCCAGCCTATCCCTTCATCAGTTGCCTACCTATCCTCCAAAAACTTTGGAAAATGCCAAGCCTGGAAAAAAGGAGATTTTCTAAACCCTGATGTTTACATTGACGCTTACCGACAAAGAGCCTTCAGGTTGGCATAACGACACTGAAACTAATTTAGTAATCTGTCTGTTTGGATTAGCAGCATTTCCCAACTGGAGATACGTAACAATATTTCAAGAATAGTGTCATGTTGAAATAGAGATGCAATGTTCCATCACTTATTGCTGGGGTTAGATTCCAGGACCTCCCGCAATAAGTGAAAAATCACGATATAGGAATGCTCTATTTATTTTAATAATACATTATTTTAGTAGTTATACACTATTTTAAGTCTTTATAAACTTAAAATAAAGTGAAGGAAAGGAAGGAAAGGCCCTTCAAGGCTGGAGGGAGGACTGAGGAGGGAAATCACCTTGGAGAGCAGTGGCGGCAAAACCCCACAAAACAGCAAAAATACCATTATATATTTTTTAAATTAATAGTTTTTGAAATCCGCGAAACAGCAAGTTTGCTAAAAGTGAACCGCGAAGTAGCGAGGGAACACTGTATTGAACTTTTTTGACTTGGAGCTCCAACTCCAATGCGGTTCTCTGCACCTTGGTGACCTTCCCCATACAGTATACAGTGTTCCCTTATCGCGGGTGATACGTTCCAGTACCACTCACTATAAGTGAAGATCCACAAAGTAGGGACGCTATATATATATATATAGTTGTTGTTGTTCACTCGTTCAGCCGCATCTGACTCTTCATGACCTCATGGACCAGCCCACGCCAGAGCTCCCTGTCAGCCATCACCACCCCCAGCTCCTCCAAGGTCATGCCAGTCACTTCAAGAATACCATCCATCCATCTTGCCCTTGGCCAGCCCCTCTTTTTTTTTCCTTCCATTTTCCCCAGCATAATTGTCTTCTCTAAACTTTCCTGTCTTCTCATTATATATACACAGTAAGTGTGTGTGTGTGTGTGTGTGTGTGTGTATACACACACACACACACACAACCACACAATCTCAAGCTTGGTGCCTCTCCCACCTTTCTTTCTCTACATGCTGGTCCCTCCTCCTACCTTCCTCCCGACCCCTGCACATGCTCTTCTTCACTCACAGCCTTCCTCCTCCAGGCAAGGCTCCTCCAGAGGTGGTGCGGGGCAGGGCGCAGGGGCAGCGGCAGCAGAGGGGTCACCAAAACAGGGCCATGGCTGCCTTGCCCTGCTTCTTGCTCAGGCCCAGCGCTGCTATGGCAGTAGCAGAAGCAGCAGCAGTGGAAGCCCAGCCCTGGGTTGACATTTGGGAGCCTGGCAGGAATCCTCCTCCTCCTCCTTCTCCTACTCCTCCTTTCTCTGAGGTGCTGTAGGGAAATGTGGGTCGAGCAAGGCCTCGTCAGGGAAGGAGTAAGGGGAGGAGGCATCTACGCTGGAGAAACAATGAGTATACACTGTTCCCTCGCTACTTGTATATTTTAAATTCATTTTTTTTAAAAAAAAAATGCGAAACAGCAAGTCCACGGAAAGTGAACCGCGAAGTAGTGAGGGAACACTGTATCTCTCTCCTTTCTCAACCTTGGCCAGAGAGAGTCTTCTGCTTAGTGACTAACATAAGTACAATGTGCCAACTAACATAAGTATAATTGTACCAACATAAGTACAATGTGAGGTGTCATTTTAGTATATAAGCCAACTTGCAAGTTTTCATGCTAGCGCCACAATAGACAGTTAGGTGGTTGCTGAAGTTTAGCTGCACAAAGAAACAAAAAGAATGATTACTGTTCTTTGCGCAATGTTTTAACATCCTTTTTTATATCTCCTGCCTCCAGGATGGTACAGAGTGCCGCAAGCAAGCTCCAGAGTCTGGTTCAATCAGGAATTGCACTACATGAAGCATGGAACAGCTGCTCTGTCCAGTTGGCATGGGCTGCTATGGTTCGTACTCAGTTTGCCCCTTCACCCAAAGTGACTCTTCTGTCTGGGAGTCTGCCACCCAAATTATGTTCAGAGAACAAAGCCACGGAATAGCAAGTCATGGTGTATTTATTCAGTGCCCATTTTTAAAAGCCAGGTCTTGTGTACGAGGGAAAAAGGGTATTGAGATTTGGATTGCTGTGAGTTTTCTGGGCCTCTATTGAGATTTGTTTTTGATGCAAGCAGACTCTTTGAAACAGGCTTAGTGTGACCCTCCAGATATAGTTGTACCTCAGCTCCCATTAGGCTATATAGCTTAACTAATAATGAGGACTGCTGTGAGTTGTAGTCTCAACAACACTTGGAAAGAAGCACATTGTCTGCCCTTCCATTAAAGCAATCTTACTTTGGTCATTTTGTATATTTTTTGGGATTGGAGCAAAATAAGATATGCTAGTTAAGTGGTTTAGGAGCAGCAACATGCTTTATTTAAAAATTCTGCCTTTGCAAAATGTGGGTCACCTTAGAATAAGTTAAGAGAGAGAAGATGTTAAATGGGACAGAACTGATGACTTTGCTTGGAATTTCTTTTGAGGTGGGATTTTGGGTCAGGGCAGACATCTGCCATGGGAGCAACTGCCCAGCATGACATACTGCTTGGTGAGCATTTTTTTGTGGTTCTCTGATATATACTGAAAAATGTGGGTCAGGCTATTGTTTTACATCTCCTAGAATGCCTGAGAGAAAGTATTATTAGAACCTGAACAGGTAACAACATTATTTAAACTGGATTATATGGCAGTGTAAATGTATATAATCCATTTCAACGCTGATAATCTAGGCCCCTTCCACACAGCTGAATAAAACCCCTCATTATCTACTTTGAACTGGAATATATTGCAGTGTGGACTCAGATAAACCAGTTCAAAGCAGGTAATGTGGGATTTTCTGCCTTGATATTCTGGGATATAGGGCTGTGTGGAAGGGCTCCTAGATTCAGAATTTGGATTATATGGTAGTGTAGATCCACCCTCAGGAATTCAGTACCTTTTGGTGAACTAGTACCTCAGGGAGCCTGGCAATGGAAGAGTAAGTGCATCAGGGTTTATCTTGAGCCCCCCCAAAACCTGAAATGACAACTAAAGGGAGCCCAACTGAAGAGAATTGAAGGTTTGGAGGCAGGAGCCAGGGACTTGCTTGTAACCTCCTGTCTCTTCTCTTCCTGGAGCTGAACAAAAAACCCCTTTCAGACATCATAAACTGAAAACAACTTGAAGGTATGCAATGGTATGTCTACACTGCCATATAATCCAAGTCAAAGCAGATAATCTGGATTTCATATGGTACTGTAGAAGGGGCCTGGGTCTGCACATGAAAGGGGATTCTGTTGGATTTTAGGGCTCCCACCTCGCTCCTTTCTGGCTACACAGATTCTCCAAATGAGGAGGAATATGGTGAGGTGGTCACTTCTATTATCTCAGTTGCACTGATCTAATTCTGGATGCAAAACATTGAGTACAGACTTGCTTCTGATGTTGAACGGAAACCCCATAATACCTCCTACTCATTTCAGCTTTCCTTCTGAACCTCTACTTTGAAAATGTTTCATGAGTTAGTAATGATACTTCTGCATGGTAGTGCCCTCCTGTATGGGATGTACACCTGACTGTTAATTATTTTCAGGCCCACATTCACTACATTGTGGTGGAACAGTTTGTCAAAGCCCTGCAGAGCTATGAAGGAGAAGCTGACATCCACAGGATCCTGAAACATCTCTGTGACCTCTTTGCACTGCATGGGATGTATCTGAATATGGGAGATTTTATGCAGGATGGATACCTCTCCACAGAGCAAGTTGCCATGGTGACTGAATCATACTTGGATCTCCTGCCTGTCATTCGGTGAGACGGTTCTCCTGTCCCCAAAATGGGCTGAATATAGTTTGGTTAATGTTTGATGATATATATATATTTATCGTGTCAGGTAGCCAGAYAATTGTATTACATTTCTAACAGAACAAAACAAACAGACAGACAAAACACAAATTTTGCAAGCTTGGTAGTTGATTAAATGTCCTTTGACCAGTATCTGGTCACTTGGTGTGCCTCTGGTGTTGCCRCAAGGAGGTCCTCCCTTGTGCATATGGCAGRGCTCAGGGTGCATTGCAACAGGTGGTCAGTGGTTTGCTCTTCTCCACACTCGCATGTCATGGATTCCATTTTGTAGCCCCATTTCTTAAGATTGGGTCTGCATCTCGCRGTGCCAGAGCACAGTCTGTTCAGTGCCTTCCAAGTTGCCCAGCCTTCTGTGTGCCCAGGGRGGAGTCCTCATTTGGTATCAGCCATTGGTTGAGGTTCATTGTTTGATGATGATGATGATGATGATGATKATKATKATKATTATTTGATACATAACAAGATTCGTACACAGAAAACAAGATCACTATTCTGGATTTTGTATGACATTTCCCAAGTGTCTAGAATTGTGTGATGTATTGGCAAATAATGTGTGCAGATTCGAGTAGGGTGGCCTTTTGCAACTGACAGATGGTGATTTCATCAGCACAAATTGTTTTTAAGTGCAGGCCAAAGTCTTTAGGCACTGCACCCAGTGTGCCAATCACCACTGGGACCACCTTTACTGTCTTGTGCTAGTCTTTGCAATTCTATATTTAAATCTTCATCTTGTGTAAGCTTTTCCAGTTGCTTCTCGTCAATTCTGCTGTCGCCTGGGATTGTGACATCAACAATCTATATGTTTCTTTCCCATGATCATGAAGTCAGGAGTATTATTATTATTTAAAGTCAGCCATGGTAATCCAGGATACTTTTTGCTTTGAAAACACAGGTTGCATCACACTATGAAATTGAACTGCCCTGGCTCAGTGCGATGGCATCCTGGGAGTTGTATTTTACAAGGTCTTTACTTCACGGATCATATTTTTATTCTCAGGGACCACTAGTGGTCCGTGCACCAGAGGTTGGAAACCACTGATTTACATCCTACTTCTCTCTTCATACGGAGACTCAAAGCGGCTCACAACTATCTCATACTATCTCGCCATCTGGACTGAGGAAGCGGGAGGTCCATAGGATGGCTGTAGGAGACATAGCTGACTACTCTATATTCACCACAAAGATATTATGTGCTTCTTTCTCAGTAGAAGCAGGACCGTAAAATACCAGAGCCTGGTGGTAACAATATTCCCCTTCTCCATTTGCCTTAGTATGTCTTTGGCCGTAGGGGTAAATATGGGAGAGTAGCTTCTACTTCTACTCTGGGTGTTTTGGCAGAATTGCATCTGAAGAGGTTGTTCTCAACTGTTGATCTAAGTCTAAGGGTCATTTTCTGCTATGTTACCCAATACATTTGTAAAGTCTGTGTGTAACACCTTCCATTATGCAAACATTTTTCTGCCTGTTTTAATTTAGACATCCCTGGAGGCAAAGGGTTCTCTTCATGCATTCTGATAGACTTACCTGTTTCAAACTTGAAACTTACTCAGTTCTTCATCTGCACATATTTGTTTCCTGGCAGTGGTTGCAAAGTTTATTTAACAATGCATTTGTAAGTGTCAGACGCCTACTTTCCATAATTATATTTAATTCCTTGAGCATGTCTGGCTATGTTCCTCTTCCTTCTCCATCTTGTTTTCACAAAAGTCCCTTGAAGTTTTTGGAAAATGGAAATCTCCATAATCTTTTGGAGATTTTATGATCTTTCAAAAGGCATGACCTTGTTAAACATCATAACTTTTTGAAAAATGATGCCTTAACCTCTTAGTAAAAAGCATGACCTGTTAGAGTCATAACCTTTTAGGAAGGTGGCATTCATGCGAGGCAATCAGGTTTCTCAGTTGTTAAACTGATGTACCTAGATATGTCTTTGAACTCTCAGGGACAAAGATATGCCAGTGCACAAAACACACATATATATACAGCAGAGTTTCAGAAGCGTTCTTTTAGATGTTTGCCCAAAAAAATCTACTCCTCTTTAAAATATATTTGCCTTTAAATCATGTTCTCAAGAGACAGATATTTATTATTAGCAGACCTCTTTAAAAGTAACATAGTTGGTTTACTCACAAACTTCATGTATTCAGCATACAGGTATTTTGCATATCAATCCAGGTACAAATAGAATTTGATGTAGTTTCTCTATGTAAGTAACACAGGGCATCATTCTTAGGATCAACAGTCCATAGTCTGTTCTGAGAGTCTAATAGAGTCTCTATGTAGTCTGAAAATCCAATGGAGTCTCTAGGCATACTATTCCTAAAATGGAGTCTGAGTCCTGAACAATCCCAGTTCTGATCACATAGTCTGCAGCCCCTCCCACATCATAGAGTTAAGGAAAGCTGCATACTAATACACACATATACAATACAGTAAGCAATCTGAATTATATACATAACATATAACTAGTGGAGACTTTAGAAGGTTGCTATTTCCAAGAGAAGTAGGTCATATTGAGAGAAAGTGGCAGCACAAAGAGTTTAATGGCTCTCCTGGATCTCCACATTCAAATCCAACATATTAAATATTCCACCTGATTCGCAAGATAATAGGCACTTAAGCCTTGGATTTCAAGGCTTTATGGCAAGAGTTCTAAGAGAGATCTCATCTGAGAGAGATCTCGTTTGGGAAACATTTGCTAGAGTGAGCCCATGGTCTACTTTAATATAAACCAGCTTACTTTGTTCCTACAGGTTTTTAGCTTTCAAAGCCACTGTTTACAGTTCAAAGTAAGAAGGAAACCATAACCTTTTGTGTCAGTCCCATGCTTAGATGACTTATCTCATGGTGTCTTGGCTATTTTTAATAAAAACAGGCATTCAATAACATTTTTTTATCCTGGCTTTGATATTTTGCAAAGCGTGGAAGTTACGACCTCTCCTTTTAATGACGGAAGTGGATACATCAGTACTGAGTGACGTTCATTCAAAATCGGTGGCGTGGGCTTTTTCAATAACCCAGCAATATTAATTTCAAAGCTTTATCAAATCCCTCCCAATAAGTGGGATGAATGCAGTGTTGTGACAGCAGTATAACAACATTAAAAGATAAAGCTGTTGCTTGCGCACCATTTAAAATATCTTTAGGGTTTTCATTGTTGTACTGAAATTGAATGAGGCACGCAATTTTTATAGGGCAGAAAGCATTTTTAAAAAATACACCCCAAGAGCAGCCTTCTTGGTAACAAAAATAAACTTAAATAATCTTCTGGGTCTTAAAACCACAAACGGCTTTGACTCTACACATCATAATAATGATTTTCTTCCTGAAGATAGCCAACTGCTTCCATGCTCCCTTCCTGTTGTTGCTGTGCATTTTACACTTTCGATTTAATTCCCTCTGAGCATGGAAGTGGATACCAATATGGAATTGTTATTACATAGACTCTGTGTTAGCATTTACTTGTCTCTGTTAAAAAATATTTTTCACCCAATAAGGATACAAGGATGGAATTGATAGATTTTCTAGGCATTGCATAGCAAAGTCTCAGGGAGTTGTTCATCTGGGTCCCCAGTACTCTGGCAAGATCCTAATCCCTTCCTCCTTGTTAGTAGAATAAATTACAAAAATGGATGTTAAATATGGACTTAATTCTACAAGCATTTTGACTAACTAGTTGGAGAGTCTTGATACATTTTTATTTCGGACTATAGGGCAGTGGTTCCCAACCCGTAGACCACGGCCCAGCAGTGAGCCGCGAGAACAAAAATCTGGTCCGTGAACCTCCTTCCTCTTTATTTTATTTTATTTCCTCTCTTTTCTGAATCAGGTCTCCAAATTACCAAACCAAATCTAAAATTGACCAAAAAACTAATTTGCAACCCTTTTGGTACTAATGTTGGAGAGTGGTCCCTGGTCAAAGTTGTCCCTGTTTAAGTGGGCCCTGGTCAAAAACAAGTTGGGAACCACTGCTATATGCTAAGAATCCTAGAGTTGGAAGAGACCTTATGGGCCATCCAGTCCAACCCCCTGCCAAGAAACAGGAACATTGCATTCAAAGCACCCCTGACAAATGGCCACCCATTCTAGAATAGATGAAAATTGGGAAATAAAGGTCTGGTAGAACGGGGAAACCAAATAGACTTGAACGTAAGGAAGAAGAACAGAAGCTACCAAATCTTTTCTTTTCCTTTTTCTCTTTTTCTATCCCTCTTCCCAAATTTCCTACTTTTCTTTGAATATAATGTTCCCGGACTTTCAATGTAAAGTTTTTTTTTATTCTATCTTTTATTTTTATTTTTTATTTAACCCACAAAAAACCCACCTCTGACAGATAGCCATCCAGGCTCTGTTTAAAAGCCTCCAAAGAAGGAGCCTCCACCACACTCCAGGGCAGAGAGTTCCACTGCTGAACAGCTCTCACAGTTAGGAAGTTCTTCCTGATGTTCAGGTGGAATCTCCTTTCCTGTAGTTTGAAGACATTGTTCCATATCCTAGTCTCCAGGGCAGCAGAAAACAAGCTTGCTCCCTTCTCCCTATGACTTCCCCTAACATATTTATACATGTCTCCTTTCAGCCTTCTCTTCTTCAGGCTAAACATGCCCAGCTCTTTAAGCCACTCTTCATAAGGCTTGTTCTCCAGACCCTTGTTCATTTTAGTTGCCCTCTGGACACCTTCCAGCCTGTCAACTCCCTTCAATTGCGGTGCCCAGAATTGGACACAGTGTGATTCCAGGTGTGGTCTGACCAAGGCAGAATAGAGGGGTCGCATGACCTCCCTGAATGTAGACACTATACTCATTCCATACACTAATAATTATGGTTTATCATCTTATCAAACCTTGAATTATTATTGAACGACTAAACCTGAATCCATTCCTTCCTTACACTCCCTCACATCATTATGTGGGGAAAAATAGGAGGGAACGGAGAAGCTGTTCTCTATGCCCCCCCCCCCAATATGATACACACTTCCTGGTCATTAAGTGCTATTATTTCAGTTTGAAATTGGCAGAAAATCATGAGTAGCACCTTCACAATTGCAGCCTGCATACCCCTGACTCACCTATTCCATGCCTTGCATACTTACATACACTCTTTTCCTCTGGGTATTAATTCACTGATGAGAATGATTGGCACTGCATCTCCTCCTTTTGACAGAGAAGATCTATTGAAGTGAAAAGCAGTTCTTTTTCTATAATAGACTATACATGTTAGGACTCTCCGCCCAAATACTTTTTCGCCACCAGCATATTATTTTTCCATCCCTGGAGGCGCCTACAGGCAGGCTAATGGTCCCAATAAATTGTGAGTTTGTTTGTGAGCCCCTTTTTTCTAATTGGATGCTGCACTCACTGTGCGTTCTTTTGTTGTAATGCGATTTAGGCTATTTATTTGGATTTTATGGGTTGTAGTTGGCTCTGAGTAGTCCTTGAGAGGCAAAAATGGTGACTCATAAAAGAAAACATTATTTCCTCTCTTTTTATCCAGGAGAGATGCTGTTCCATTAGTGGATGTGTTTGACTTCTCTGATGTAAGCTTAAATTCGGCCCTCGGAAGCTATGACGGCCGTGTCTATGAGCACCTTTATGAGTGGGCCAAGAAGTCCCCAACCAATAATCAGGTAAGAGCACTGCACTCATTGGTCAGTCCAGACAAAGGAGATCAGTTTGAGTTAGGGCTTACAGTGGGGGGGGGGGAGTATTTAGTCAGGTACCAACTGTGAAAGTTCTCCCACTTAAAAAGATGAGAGAAGCCTGTAATTGATATCATACGTAGACCTCAACTATGAGAGACAACATGAGAAAACACATCCAGAAAATCACATTGTCTGATTTTTAACTAATTTATTTGCAAATTATGGTGGAAAATAAGTATTTGGTCCTTAACAAAAGTTCAACTCAATAATTTGTTATATATCCTTTATTGCCAATAACAGATGTCAAACATTTTCTGTAAGTCCTTACAAGGTTGGCACACTGTTGCTGGTACGTTGGCCCATTCCTCCATGCAGATCTCCTCAAGAGCAGTGATGTTTTGGGGCTGTCGCTGGGCAACATGGACTTTCATAACCTTCATGCCTTTAGTCTAATACATAACACTGACCAACAAACATTTTGTCTCAAATGTTTGAGCTCTTTCTGGGTATACTCAACCTGCCAATTCCAAAAATGGCACCGGTTTTCACCCATCTCTAGTTTTTGAAATACAGAACATGTCATGTACCAGTGACTATCTGCTCGCCCATAGATCACCATGAGAACAGAACCATATCTAAGAAACTGGAGTTAATGTGGTCTATCCAATGCAATTTTTTGAATCGGCACCCCCAAATAACCCCAGGAACAGGCTTAAAAACCATGACACCAAGAAATATTTTTTTGGTTGGGTTGTGTAATCTATACCATATGAGCATGAGTCACAGCAAAGGGTTAGGAGCCTCCTTCAATCCAAGTGGGACAAAAGGATAGGATCAAAAAATACCAGCTTAATATTAGCTGACCTTTTGTGTCATGTTATGTTTATTTGTTTATCTTTGGTTAAGTTTGGTTGTTTATAAGTTACTGTATATACTCAAGAATAAGTACTTTTTTAGGCTCAGAAAGCTCCCCTCGACTTATACCTCAGTCAAAGTTATTTATTATTTTACTCTGTTGTTGTTGTTGTTGTTGTTACATTTACATTATTTTACCCTATTATTTTATTGCATGTATTATTTTACTGTATTATTATTATTACATTTATTATTTTACTCTATTATTGCTGTTATTAATACATTTCTATTATTTTACTCTATTATTATTATTATTATTATTATTATTATTATTATTATTTTACTGACACAAAAACACAGTATGTCGCAGCAAATGAGATATATATGCTGGATTTCGTATCACAAAATCACAAGACGAACACTTCCCAAGTGTCTAGGACTGTGTAAATAATAAATTATTACATTTATTATTTTACTCTCTTTATTATTATTGGAAATGATACATAAGCACATTTACATTGAAGGTTAGAATAATGTTTTAATCAGAGTTGGACAGTCTTATCTTAAATTACAGTTTTATGTAAATATTCAAAAATATTTAACCTACTGATGCCTCAGTTAATGTAATTTTATTGGTGTATGTTTTAATTTTGAAATTTACCAGTAGCTGCTGCATTTCCCACCCTCAGCATATACTTGAGAGTCAATACGTTTTCCCAGTTTTCTGTGGTAAAATTAGGTGCCTCGCCTTATATTTAGGTCGGCTTATACTCAAGTATATATGGTATATTTCGTTTATTTTGTTTCATGTTTTGTTGTGATTGTTACTTGTTTGTCTTGGCATTGAATGTTTGCTATTTTTGTTATACTTTGGAATTGTGCTGAGTCCCATCAAAGAGAGAGGACAGGCTATAAATAAAGTATTATTATTTATTATTAAAGCTCCTTCAGCCAGTAAATGAAGTTTTAGAACAGGCATTTTAACATTATAGAATGGAAAAGGAAAAAAGGAAACAGAAGCTAGGAGGCCATCAAATGGGTGTCATGAGAAGGGAAAGGATCTCCAGATATGATAAAGGAGTGCTGCTCTAACATTCGCTTGCTGTGTAGTTCTCCTTCCTTCTTTCCTTCTTGTACTGCCCTTTGGCCCATGTGCTCCTCCGCCCACCCACAGCATTCAGCTGCACATTACGCTTTCCAGAATGAATACAAGCTAATGAGGTCCATCTTTTCAATATCGAGGGAGACAATGAAGTGGAAGCTGTGAATTAGGGAAGAAATTGTGAAGCCACATGCAAAAAGAAGACAAGGTTGCCTTTGCTGTTCTATTTTTGCCTTCTATTGACAATCTCTGTCCTTTTCTGTCTCCCAACAGGACAAGAGGGTCTTTGAAACCTATTTGAAGCCACTTTTCAAGAATGCCCTGTCAAAGTTATGAAAGAGGAGAATGCAACAAGGACACCTCCTTTTCCTGATGCCCAACTCCAACTCATAAAATGCAATAACAGGGTGTTTTGTTTGACCAGCCATACTTGCCAGAACATGAGGTGTTCTGGCAAGCAGGATCCAGCTAACTTCTGGGCTGGAACCATTGAATTTAAAGGTTTTTTCTACAATGCACAGCAATAGCTGCCTACAGTCTGTGGGCAGCCCAGTCTCAATTGTAGGATCTCACATCAAACATCCAGGCATCCCCTGGTCAACATTCTTGCAGACAGCCAGTTCTCTCACACCAGAAGCGACTTGCAGGTTCTCAAGTCACTCCTGACACACCCAAAAAATCAGTCTTAGGTCTAAGGCACCAGGAATGTCTCTGTGGGAGAAGTGGAGGGCTGTAGCCCACCTTCCCATCACCTCCAACATTACCATGCTGACTGTGGCTGGTAGGACCTAGAATATAAAGCTAGGACATTGCTATCCTTGAATGATGGCACAACAGGGCAGTGAAGGGTCTGGCCCAAATTCACTGTTAGTCCCAACCAGAATAAATATGTTGAATTAATGTAATTTACTGAATTGTAGGTTTTTTTGGGTTATATGGCCATGTTCTAGAGCAGTGGTTCTCAACCTGGGGTCCCCAGATGTTTTTGGCCTTCAGCTCCCAGAAATCCTAACAGCTGGTAAACTGGCAGGGTTTTCTGGGAGTTGTAGGCCAAAAACATCTGGGGACCCCAGGTTGAGAACCACTGTTCTAGAGGCATGTGCCTCCAGAACATGGCCATATAGCCCGAAAAAACCTACAACAACCCAGTGATTCCAGCCATGAAAGCCTTCGACAGTAGTTTACTGAGTTTTATCATTCAGAAACATTGTTAGTCTGTAATCATAGGGACTATCAGTTCAGGTGGGACCCAGATTGAGTTGGACTACAGTTCCCAGCAGCCCCGTGCAGCATGACCAAATTTTAGGAGTGGCAATCCAAAAACAGCCTGGAGAGCTGCAAGTTTTCCACTTAACATTTAAAAAAAATAGAAATTTTGGCCATTTAAAAAATGAAATATTGCCCCTATATGCTGTCTTGCATGCATATAGGGCAGAAAAGTGATATATGAATTTAATAAATAATTCCATTGGGTCACTCCTGAGCTGGTACGACTTCCCAACCTAATCACCTCACAGCATTGCTGATAGGGAAAAGTGCCATTATGACGTGAGGACATGATTTTTAAATGTAATAATGCTGTGAATGTGTTGTCGAAGGCTTTCGTGGCCGGAATCACTGGGTTGCTGTGAGTTTTCCGGGCTGTATGGCCATGTTCCAGAAGCATTCTCTCCTGACGTTTCACCTGCATCTATGGCAGGCATCCTCTGAGGTTGTGAGGTCTGTTGGAAACTAGGCAAGTGGGGTTTATATATCTGTTGAATATCCAGGGTAGGAGAAAGGACTCCTGTTTGTTAATCAAGGTGGTCAGTTGCAACATTCACACCTGCCTCAAGCAGACAAGAGTTCTTTCTCCCACCCTGGACACTCCACAGGTATATAACCCCCACTTGCCCTAATTTCCAACAGACCTCACAACCTCTGAGAATGCCTGCCATAGATGCAGGTGAAACATCAGGAGAGAATGCTTCTAGAACGTGGCCATACAGCCCAGAAAACTCACAACCACCCAGTGTTGTGAATCAGAATCAACTAGAAGACTGTCTTGGCTAAAACTACCCAAGTTTGTCTGGCTGAAAGGAAAGATTTATGTGTTTCTTCTTGGTTTCGTCTGTCTAAAATGGATTTTATTGTAAAAAATATTATGTCAGTTAAAATGGAAGCAATTTTGTCTCTTGGCTTAAAACTCCCAAGATGTGGTGGGTACACACATGGCAGAATGTGTTAATGTATTATTTCAGTGTTGATTATTGTTTTGATTTGGCATCTCATTCATTAAACTAGAACTGTGCAAATAAATATATATACTCTTACTTGTCCTTACTCTTACTGAAACAACTTTGTTTTATGCAAACATGAAAAATCAAGGAATGGCTTTAGGGTAGAACTCCAAGTCTTCATCTATGGCAGATATAGGCAATCCCAGGCCCAGGGGGCCAGAGGCTGCCCCTTGGGCTCTTTTCTCAGACCCTCCTCTCTCTCACCAACCTATCTTTCCTTCCTTCTCTCTTTCCTACCTCCTTCCCTCCTTCTCCTTCTCTTCCACACTTTCAACCTTCCTTGTATCTTTCCTCCCTCTCTCCTCCTTCCTTCCCTTTATTCTTCCCTTCCTTCCATCCTTCTCTTCATCACTTCCATCCTTCTCTTTCCTTCCTCCTTCCTTCTCTTTCCTTCCTCCCTTCTCCTGCCTTTCCAAGCTTTCATCCATCTTTCCTTCCCTCTTTCCTTCCTTTCTCTTTCCCCTTCCTTCCATCTATACATCCATCCTTCCCTTCCACACTTTCGTCCTTCCCTCCCGTTTTTCTTCCTTCTCTTTCCTCCTCCTTCCTGACTCACCATAGTGGGAGTTGTAGCTTACCCTACAGCCAGAGAGTACACTGAACCCCACTGATTATGCATCTGGAGCAAACTTGCCCAACATAACAAACTTAAGTACTGATGGAGTATTTTGGGGTTAATCTGGCATTGAGTATTTTGGGGTTAATCTGTCATGATTAATCTGGTGTGTTGTAGTTCACCCACAACCTTATGTGTTTTGTACAATTAAAAAACTTTTGCGTTTTTCAAATAGCCCAGGCAACACCGGATACCCAAAGTAGTATTAAATAAAGAAGCAAGTAAATAAATAAATAAGCAAGCTGAATTTTAATTCAAACCACATGTAGAGCGACGGCATACAGTTATGGACTGCCGCAATTTTCAGACAGTAACAACATTAGGCTGGTCACGCCACTTCCCATAGCAGACATGCTTTGCCACCTGAGAGGTTGAGTTTTATTTCTCATGCATTTTCCATTTTGTGTCCATTACCAAAAATGAATCAGACTAAAAACTTTTTTTTAAACCCACCCCATTTCCTGGCACAAGTGTTTTTCATCTGCCACAGGCAGAAGAATAACTCCATGTCATGGCATAACAGCAAAAGGCAGACATGACTATTTTTTAATTAAGCTTGTGAAGAGTGAGCTTTATTACTGCTGCAATCATTATTCTTCTCAAACAGGTTATCAGGAAGTCTCCAACCCCATAGTCACCATGACACCCATATAGCTGTTCTAAACTATGAACATAATTGTTTTTCAGTTATGGGGAAATTACTTTTTAATAAAAACTTTCCCACTCTTTAGTTCATTATATAACAAACAAAAAGTTAAATTTGTTATACAGATTGAGTGCCCTTTGTCCAAAATGCTTGGCACCGGGAATGTTCTATATTTTGGATTTTTTTCCAGATACATAGATATCTAGGAGATGGCACTCAAGTCTAAACACAAAATTCATTTACGTTTCATCGGCACTTGATACAGGTATCCTGAAGCGAGTGAACCATTAGAAAGCACAGACGTCCATCCTTGCGGACAATTTTAGAGTATTTTGGAATTATATTCAACCTGTATTACAAAATCCCATACATAGACAACTGGAAGAGGTTTCATATTTGGGGTACGATTCCCACAGCCCTTCAATCAGAATAGCTACAAGATTTAGGTGAGATGATCCTTCGCTTAAAGGTAAAGGTTTTCCCCTGACATTAAGTCCAGTTGTGTCCGACTCTGGGGGGTTGGTGCTCATCTCCATTTCCAAGCCAAAGAGCCAGCGTTGTCCGCAGACACCTCCAAGGTCATGTGGTCAGTATGACTTCATGGAGCGCTGTTACCACGCATCAACTAGTAGTTTGTTTACCACACATCAACTAATATTTGTGATTCTACACAAACTTTAGCCAATTGTTAGGTAAACCAAACCTGGATTGGGTTACTGAGTTTTCTGGGCTGTATGGCCATGTTCCAGAAGCATTCTCTCCTGACCTTTCACCCACATCTATGGCAGGCATCTTCAGAGCTTGTGAGGTTTCATAGAAATTAGGACAAGTGAGGTTTATATATCTGTGAAATGTCCAGGATGAGAGAAAGAATTCTAGGCTGCTTGAGCAAGTGAGAATGCTGCAACTGCCCACCTTGATAAGTATTGAATGGCCTTGCAGTTTCAAAGCCTGGCTGCTTCCTGCCTGGGGGAGTATTTTGTTGGGATGTGTCAGCTGGCCCTGATTGTTTGATGTCAGGAATTACCATTTATATATCTGTGGACATTCCACAGATATATAAACCCTACTTGCCTAGTTGCCAACAGACCTCGCAACCTCTGAGGATGCCTGCCATAGATGTGGGCGAAACATCAGGAGAGAATGCTTCTGGAACATGGCCATACAGCCTGGAAAGCTCACAGCAACCCATTGATACCGGACATGAAAGCCATCGACAACACATTCAACCTTGGATTGTTATTGCACACCATTATTTCAGGTTTGTACAGAACAGCAAGCTAGATGAACGTGAAGCAAAACTTGCCAAGAACTTGACAAGGATATGAAGAAGAGAGAGGCAAGGGAAAATCTGTGAGTCAGTGGCATTTCTCTGGGTTGTAGAGCCTCATGCGTGAAAGAATCATGCTGATGTATGATTACAAGTCGAATAGCAAATAAGAATTATTTAAAAGAAATACAATTTGGTATAACCACTAGGAATAAAGAAAAGGTGGCTTTGGTGCTTGAACTGCTCCATGGGCTGGACATTAGCCACCCTAAAAGAAACCTTAGAGCTTTATATCCATATTTATATTGCCCAGCATGATTACTATTTACAAATTAAGTTACCAAAACAGGTACACTTTTTAGGTGTAACTCCAGCTATATTTTTTTAGTTTTGGATAGCATAGGGAAAGGTAGACACCCCTGTGATGTTTCTTTTGCGGTCTGTACCTTGTTTCAGAAGATTTCACCTCACTTTCAGTCCCTGTGATAATTGGATTTTGAAAATTTTGGGTTGTTATGGAAACAAAGATTGGTGGTAAAGTTTCAGCAGAGACCCCTTTTCCCCATGATAACTTTCACAGGAATGGATTTCCTTTCTTAGAGGTAGATTTTCTCCCACTCCCTATTTTCTCACCCCCGTTCTGAACTATGAGTTATATGCAAGGCCCCCTCTGCATTGACATATAATCCAGGCTATCAAAGCAGATAATCCACATTATCTGCTTTGAACTGGATTATATGAGTCTACACTGCCATATAATCCAGTTCAAAGCAAATAATCTGGGTTTTACATAGCAGGGTAGAAGGGGCCTTAGTCAGATGTTGGTAACCCAGGAACTGCTGGTAAAACCTTATCATACATGGGTTGTTGTGAGTTTTCCGGGCTGTGGAAATGTTCCAGAAGCATTCTCTCCTGACATTTCGCCCACATCCATGGCAAGCATCCTCAGAATTGTGAGGTCTGTTAGAAACTAGGAAAATTGGGTTTATATATCTGTGGAATGTTCAAGGTGGGCGAAAGAACTCTTGTTTGTTTGAGGTAGGTGTGACTGGCCACCTCGGTTAGCATTTAATGGCCTAGCAGTTTCAAGGTCTGGCTTCTTACTTCTGTGGGAATCCTTTGTTGGAAGGTGATTAGCTGGTTCTGATTGTTTTTAGTCTGGAATTCCCGTTTCGAGTGTTGTTCTTTATTTACTGCTATGCTTTTAGGTTTTTTTTTAATATTGGCAGCTAGATTGTGTTCATTTTCATGGACATTCTAGATAAACAAACCCAATTTTCCTAGTTTCCAACAGACCTCACAACCTCTGAGGATGCCTGCCATAGATGCAAGGAAACGTCAGGAGAGAATGCTTCTGGAATATTGCCATACAGCCCAGAAAACTCACAACAATCCAGTGATTCCAGCCATGAAATCCTTCGACAATACTTATCATAAATGTTGCTTTAAAAATCTCAGATAGCTTTTAAAATTAATGATTTCCCTTTCCTTTTTCACAGAAGATGGTTCATTTTCCGTGACTCCTGCATTTCCTGGAACATTAAGTTTAAAAGAGCACAAACAAAAGATTGCAGATCTGGCTTCCATATTTCATGTCTTTTATTAGCTTCTTGCTGGCGAGCATTACACTTGGGAATTATTATTGCACCGGGCATTAAAAAATAAAGGAGTCCTACCACAGGGAGGTTTTTGCATTCAGAACCAATATAAATACTTCTAATTATATTTTCATAGCTCAGATAATATTTGGTTGCTTGATTTATAATGTATAGGGGGGAAAAGCAGACAGATATGGCATTTTAAAAATAAAACCAAGGGCAGGAGGAAATGGTCTTGGAGGATTTGGAGGTAACTAAATAATACTGCTTGTTAGTGGTCAAGGAAAACTAGATTAGATTACATGATGATAGCTTTTCCTCTAATTACATCTGAACCATTCTGGGTACAGTCCAGAGGGAACTAGTCCAAAACAAGCTCTTCTTATACCATCTGCATTCACTTCAGTCTATTTCAGTGCAAGTTGGATTTTCTCTTTCATTCCCAGTGGTAAGTGACAGCATTAAATAAACGCCATTTAAATCAAGAGGTGGTTTTTAGCACCTTATATAATGCATTGTAAAAAAAAGGGGGAGGGATCTTAACGTAGTTAATTCTGAAGTTGTCTCTAAGAATGATTTGTGTTTGTTTCGCTTCATCTTTGAATTTAAAAAGAGACTTAACATTTTAAGCAGGCACATGCATTCGTTTCTCACAAGACAGAAGACAAGAGGCCACAGCATGTCCCTCCTCCAGTCTCTAAAAACCAAATAATAAATATTCATAACCAAATAAAATAAAATAAAACAAAAGAATGAAATAAAAGAAGAGTCTCTCCGAGGCTGTTTAGGGTCAAGGCCAGACTCCAGTCACTGAAATACATGGTTTTGAGAAGCGGCTAATTCACTTTTGGAAAGTGAACAAATAACAGACGAGGACAAATGGTATCAGTCATCCGTTTTTCGGGCCAGTCTACAGAAAGTCCAGTTGTGTTCAACTGTGTTTTCGTTGGCTCGCTCGCTCATGTGGTGGACTCTCGTATTTCGAATGGTGAAACCTTGCTTCGTGATGTACTCCATCAGATGGACGCGGAGAGAGACCTCTTGGTGGTAATCGCACGGCCCAAAGGTAAACGAAACTTGGCAGTCTCTGGTGTCCATCATGTGCTTATTCCACTTGGTAAAATAGTTGGAAATGCCTTCCAACAACGAGTGAACCTTGGTCGTGATGGTGAGCTGTGTTATGATCACTGCCACTGGATTGGAGTATTTGGAAAGCTTGCGTGTGCTGGAAAGCTCCACCACTTCCTCAAAAGTATCCACAGGATACAAAGGCTTGGGGTCATTAAGACACTGTATTAAGGGTTCGATCTGATAAAAATCAGCTTCTTTTCGAAGCAAATCAAATTCTTTGAAGTCCACAGGCAGAGTCAGCTCTGAGGTCCGTAAAAAATTGAGAACGTACCGGAAAAGTGGCCCATCCCGGTCAATGAAGTAATTGCCCTGAGAATCTCTGGCAGTGGGGAAGTCTCCCCGGAACATGGCTCCCAGCATCGAATCGGGATACCTGGTGAGCGTGGTCAGCGACGTCGTGTACAAGTGGCCTCCCACATTGAGAGTGACTGGTTCAGTCATCTGAAGGGAGGAAGGAGAAATATCAGAGTTCTTTCAGATAGGCAAGTTGCTACAAGAAAACTAATTTATTTATTTATTTGCCATATTTATATCCTGCCCTTCTCCCCCGAAGAGGACTCAGAGCTGCGCACATAAAAACACAATTAAATACCATACATTACCTACAATACATATCCAGCAAATAAATAATATACATTAAAAACACCTCCTAAAAACATACCAACATTAAAATTATTAAAATCACATACATCACTGCACCACTCCATGTTCACATATTGGGATGTGGGGAAGTTATGAGAGGGAGCATAAGGGGATTATAGCTTTGTATTTGATTCCTTGTTTTGTTTGTCTTATTTTGTTGCCTGTGATTTGATTTTATTTTCAGTTGGTTAGATTTAAGTTGCATTTTTTTGCAAACTTAATGCAAATTGAATCTTTAAAAGAGAATTGACAAGAGTAAATATGCAGAGGGGCAAATGATGAATAGAGTCTTTAGTACCTTGGAAAAGTAACATATATAAAATATATAATACAATCTATTTTAATATTGAATGTAATACTTTTAAATGTTTAATATGTATTGATTTTAATTTAATTTATTTTAAGCTTGACTTTTGCATGTGTTTTAAGGTGTTGAATAATTAATTGCCTATATGTAAGCAGCCTTGAGTCATTTGGGGTAGAGAAAGGCGGGATATAAATAGGGTAACTAAATAAAGAAATAATAATATGAATGAAATTTGGAAACATTGGTTTTTTGACTGCAATACTCAGAATCCCAAAGCCAACTCTTAAGGTCAGCAAAAGCTAGGAATAGCAGGAAATGAGATTCCAGCAAAAGATTAGGAAGAACCTCTTGAAGGTAAGAGCTGTAACGGAAGTGGAAAATGCTTCTTTGGTGGAATCTCCTTTTCTGGAGGTTTTTAAGTAGAGATTAAATGGTCATCTTTTGGGAGTGATTTGATTGTATTTTCCTGCATGGCAAAATGGGGTTGGACTGGAATTACCCTTGCAGTCTCTTCGAATGCTATGATTCTAGGTGATAAGATCCAAAAAGTGTTGTTTCCAAGCCCTGAAGCTGAAATTCTTTCAACCAGAATAAATATCAGCCTCCTCTGATATGTGCTGAATATTACTAAACGGAGTGTTTGCATATGGCCAGCTGTCAATGCAAAGAGCACAGAAGGGATGGTTTTGCACAACACAAACACACGTGCAGATGGGCACATGCATGAACACAGGATCCCTGGGGAGGCAAATGCACCCCCTTCCCAACTGGAATACTTACTATATATCCCCAGTCTCCATTATCCATCTGTTCCAATGCGCCGTCCACGCGGGTCCCCAAATATATGTGCAGTCTTTGCAAAGGCTATACAATGCCCAACTTGATTCCTTCCTGTGGGAGGAAAGAGGGAAACAAAGCGGATGATGAGCACTTACACGGAGAAGATGAAGAACAAGAAGAAGAAGAGAGCAATGTTTCTATCCATCAAAAGGCAGGAAGGCAGGCGCTCTGCCAAAACTCTGTGCCTTGAACTCCAGATACAAAGCAACTCGAGCTTAATCGTCTATAAAAGCGTGCTTTCCCTCTCCTGACCTTCCTGCACCCTTTACAACGTGCCTCCCTGGAAAAATGGTAATCGGCCTGTACGCTGCTGCCTTGTGTTAAATAATGAGCAGTCGGCATCGGAAGAGGATTCGGGCTCTGGGGACGCGGCCGGATTTTACTAGGGCAAAGCAGTCAGTTCTGAAAGGGGCCCTAGCAGTGCCAAATACAGACATGCTACGGATATCTCCGTTGATCCATACGTATACAAATACATTTGTACCAGAATGAGGTGAGTTTTGGACTACAACTCTGGGACTATTGGGCAAATCTTCGCTTGGTAATGGGAACTCACAGGGTGATCTTGGGCAAGTCACACTCTCTCAGAGGAAAGAAAAAGGCAGACCCTTCTGAACTACTCTTGCCAAGGAAACCTTGCAACTGTCTGGTCATAAATCGGAAATGATTTGAAGGCACACAAATGCAAACATACATACATATTAAAATATGTACATATAGTACACATGTTTTTTAATTGGTCAGTTATGTACTTCAGAGGAAAGAACAGGCAAAATAAAAGATTATTTCAGTTCTTTTGAACGATCAAAGTTAATTCACTGTGTTGTAGGGGTTTTTTTTTTTTGGGGCTATATGGCCATGTTCTAGAGGCATTCTCTCCTGACATTTCGCCTGCATCTATGGCAAGCATCCAACCTCTGAGGATGCTTTCCATAGATGTAGGCGAAACGACAGGAGAGAATGCCTCTAGAACATGGCCATATAGCCTGAAAAAAACCTACAACAACCCAGTGATTCCAGCCATGAAAGCCTTCGACAATCCACTGTGCCTAAATGCCACAAAGGCACAAGATCCCATCTGTAATCTAAGAAGGGTCAGGTTTGGTTAGAACTTGGATGGGAAGCCATCCGGGAATATCAGGTTCTACAGCAGTGTTTCTCAACCTTCCTAATGCCATGACCTCTTAATACAGTTCCTCATGTTGTAGTGACCCCCAACCATAAAATTATTTTTGTTGCTACTTCATAACTGTAATTTTGCTGCTGTTATGAATAGTAATGTAAATATCTGATATGCAGGATGTATTTTCATCCACTGGACCAAATTTGGCATAAATACCCAATATGCTCAAATTTGAATGCTGGTGGGGTTGATGGGGATTTATTTTGTCATTTGGGAGTTGTAGTTGCTGCAATTTATAGTTAACCTACAATCAAAGAGCATTCTGAACTCCACCAACGATGGAATTGAACCTAACTTGGCACACTGAACTCCCATGACCAATAGAAAATACTGGAAGGACTTGGTGGGCACTGACCTTGAGTTTTGTATTTGTAGTTCACTTACATCCAGAGCGCACTGTGGACTTAAATAATGATAGATCTGGACCAAACTTGGCATGAATACTCAATATGCCCAATGTGAAACACTGGTAGAGTTTGGGGAAAATACACCTTAACATTTGGGAGGTGTAGTTGCAGGGATTTATAGTTTAGATTTATAGATGCAGGCGAAACGTCAGGAGAGAATACTTCTAGAACATGGCCATATAGCCCAAAAAACCTACAACAACCCAGTGATTCCAGCCATGAAAGCCTTCGACAATACTTTACACAAATCTCACTGAGGAGCTCTCTGTGAATCACTGCTTCAGTTTTTCTCCAAGCAAGTTAGCACCGATTTCAATTCACACTGAATAGGAGAAATGACTTTCTTTCTCACCCATTATTTTATAATAGCCCACTGAAATATGAGGAATAGAGTGAAAGGACTGGAAGGAGGGAGGGCAGGCTTTGACTTTCACTCTATTCCTCATAGTTCAGAAAGCTTTCGACAACACAAAGTCATTTCTATTCAGTGTGAATTGAAATCGGTGCTAACTTGCTTGGAGAAAAACCGAAGCTATGATTCAGTCGATTTAAAAACATACACTGGCTTCTATTTTAACAGTAACCTTTATAGTTGGGTGCCTTCCAGTTGTTTCTGACTTACAGCCACCCTATGATAACGTTTTTTGGAGTTTTGGAGTTCGGTGCCATCTCTATGCAGATGACACTCAACTCTATTATTCTTTTCTACCAAATTCTATGGAAGCCCCCCAGATCCTGGGCCAGTGCCTGGCCACTGTGGACTGGATGAAGGCTAACAAGCTGAAGCTTAATCCAGACAAGACAGAGGTCCTCCTTATCAGTCACATGGGCAATTGGGGTATAGGATGGAACCCATGCTCAATGGGGTTACAATCCCCCTGAGGACACAGGTCCGCACTCTGGGGGTCCTCTTGGATTCAGTGCTGACACTTGATGCACAGGTGTCGGCGGTGACCAGGAAGACCTTCACACAGTTAAAACTTGTGCACCAGCTGCAACCATAACTCGAAGCCTGACTTAGCCAAAGTGGTCAACGCCTCAATTACATCCAGACTGGATTACTGTAATATACTCAATGTGCCTTTGAAAACAGCTCACAGTGGTTGAACTTCCCTCAGGGTTTTCAAACAGGCTGGATGGCCATCTGTCAGGAGGTCTTAGATGGTATCTTCCTGCCTGGTTGAAGGGGGTTGGACTGGATGCCTATGGCTTGCCAGACAACCTTTGTTTGTGTGGGCAGGAAGCATTTTTAATATAACACACCTCTGGACTATAGGTGACACACTAGTGCATCCTGACACATAGTTTGGAAAGCTTTGCACTAAATCATGCAGTTTCTTGTTATTGTTCATTCATTCAGTCGTTTCCAACTCTTCGTGACCTCATGGACCAGCCCACACCAGAGCTCCCTGTCAGCCATCACCTCCCACAACTCCTTCAGAGTCAAGCCAGTCACTTCAAGATGCAATTTCTTAGATAAAGTTAAAGGTTTGTCCCACCCCTGGAGTGGTGCTCATTTTCATTTCTAAGCCAAAGAGTTAGCTTTGCCCGTAGACGCCTCCAAGGTCATGACTGCATGAAGCGCCATTACCTTCCTGAAGAAGTGGTAGCTATTGATCTACTCACACTTGCATGTTTTCGAACTACTAGGTTGGCAGAAGCTGGGCCTAACAGCAGGAGCTCACCCTTCTCCCCAGATTCGAATTGCTGACCTTTTGGTCAGCAAGTTCAGCAGCTTAGCAGCTTAACCCGTTGCACTACCAGGGGGCCCTTTCTTAAACAGAGACAAAGCTCCTTCTTGCTCCAAGAAATGCTATATTTTCTATTTTAGACATACCATAAATGATTAGGCACACCATCATCCCCTCTCGTTTGGTGAAATCCCTGACAGGAAAACCGGGTTAGCATTTAGGACTCTGACATGGGAAGACTATGTTGCACAACACATTAAAGATTTCTGGTAGCTGCAGTTTTCTGAAGGAGCTATCAATCTCCATCCTTTTTGCCAGGCTTTAATCCCAGCATCTTTTCAAAGGGGAGAAATTATGGAAGATGGACTAGGACAAAACCTTTATAAATGTGTATATATCGCATATTAAGCCTGGTGGCTTCTTCATGCGTTGAATAAATTACTTTCCATCTCCTCTTTCTCCAAATTAAGAGACAAACATTTCCTGAAACTGATTGATAGCAGAAACATCCAAGGATGTATCTGGCAAGAAAAGAGATCCCAATTTCAGTCTGAGTCAGATCTATTCAGATATTTTAAAGGTTAAGCTATTGGCAAACAAGTTCCTTTCCTGCAATATTCCTGTTCTCTGAAAATCCGAAAGGAAAAAAGAAAGAAAGGCCACAAAAGTTTGCTTCTTGCAAGGCTTGTAACTAGGGCTGGCTCACAACCCAAACAAGATTTGGTTTCAATGGACAACAAAAGGGGTCACTTCTCTGGGAAAGGTGGATTCCAGTACATTTGTGCAATATAATAGTCTGTCTGTCTCTTTCTCTCTCACATACACACTTTCACTCATTCTCATGATGAAGACAGAAGCAGCTCATCTGCAGGGTCCTCCATATGCTACAATAACCAAAAATAAATCAGACAGCAATCCACATTTCCCCAGAACAGCATGCAGCTTTTGCAATACAAAGCAACTTCTCCATGCAAACCACCATTATTTTTATTATTTGGTCAAAGAAAGCAGTGCTACTGATTTCTCCATATTCTCAGGAAATTATCTCATTAATTGTACACAAAAAACATCCTCGTATCTATAGAAAGTGGTTAAGCATCCCTTTTGTAGCAAAAATTGGGGAGGGTAGAAAGAAGAGAACATAGGAACAGCTAAAAGTAAAGGTAAAGTTTTCCCCTTGACTTTAAGTCTAGTCGTGTCCAACTCTGGGTGGTAGTGCTCATCTCCATTTTTAAGCCAAAGAGCCAGCATTGTCCGTAGACACCTCCAGGGTCATGCAGCTAGTATGACTGCATGGAGCACCGTTACCTTCACGCATAAGCATATCTATTGATCTACATATATTCGAATGTTTTCGAACTGCTAGGCTGGCAGGAGCTGGGTTTAACAGTGGGAGCTCGCCCCGCTCCCCGGATTCGAACTGCCAACCTTTCAGTCAGCAAGTTCAGCAGCTCTGTGGTTTAACCCTCTGCACTACTGTGGGCTCTGAATAACAATACGAAAAACCCATAGTTAGGTCCCAAAACGATTATTATCAGTGCAGTTAAAATTTGAAATTGTCTTTTTTGTTGTTCCCCAAAAAAAGCATTTAGTGAGGAAACAAAAGAAATGTGTACAGATTGTGTATTACTCATCCAAAAATGTTTGGATACAGACATGTTCTTTATTTTGGGTTTTTCAAACTTTTATTTTTCAATGCAGTATGTTTTTGGAGCTGGGTCTAACAGTAGGTGCTCACCCCGGGTCCCCAGATTTGAACCGCCAACCTTT